GAGCAGTCTGCACTCTGGGCATGCACAGTGTGCCATCCTTGGAAGCCATGAGGGGCCCAGGGATTCAGACTTGCGTGTGTGTGTACACACACAATCCTGGCCCAACTGCACTGGCTGCCGATCGGTTTCTGGGCCCAATTAAAGGGCTGGTTTCTGAAGGCCTGAAATGGCTCAGGACCCCAGTATCTCAAAGGCTACCTCTTTCCCCATAGGAACCAACCCGGACCTTGTGATCATTATCTGAGGCCCTTCTTTGTGTTCTCCCCTTCCACGGGAGGGTGGCAGCATGAGAACAACGAGGCTTTTTCCGTGGTGGCTCCCCACTTGTAGGACACTCTCCCCAATGAGGCTCATCTAGCAGCATCATAGAATCACAGAATTGTAGAATTGGGAGGGACCCTGAGGGTCATCTACTCCAACCCCCCTGCAACGCAGGACTATTTTGATGTAGGGGTGTGTGTTTTTTAATGCTGGTTTTAATGTACAAAGGTCCGTATAGTTAAAGCTATAGTTTTCCCAGGAGTGATGTATGGAAGCGAGAGCTGGACCATAAAGAAGGCTGATCGCCGGAGAATGGATGCTTTTGAATTCTGGTGCTGGAGGAGACTCTTGAGAGTCCCACGGACTGCAAGAAGATCAAACCTCTCCATTCTGAAGGAACTCAGCCCTGAGTGCTCACTTGAAGGACAGATCCTGAAGCTGAGGCTCCAGTACTTTGGCCACCTCATGAGAAGAGAAGACTCCCTGGAAAAGACCCTGATGTTGGGAAAGATGGAGGGCACATGGAGAAGGGGATGACAGAGGACGAGATGGTGGGACAGTGTTCTCGAAGCGACCAGCATGAGGGAGGCAGTGGAAGACAGGAGTGCCTGGTGTGCTCTGGTCCAGGGGGTCACGAAGAGGCGGACACGATTAAACAACAACAACAACATGTGTTTTTTTGCTCACAATATTGTAAGTTGCATTGCCGTTGTGGAAAAAAAGTGATGAATAACTTTATTAGCTATTGTTTTGTTCCTGTTCCAGTTCCTGTTACGCACTTTGTGGTTTTACTCTGTACACTTATGCTGTGAACCAGCCTGAGATCTTTGGATGGAGGTCATTATATAAATTTAATAAATAATAATAACTGCCCTCTTATGTACTTCCAGCCCCCTTCTCTCCCTTCCTTCCTCTCTGTCTCACATGTGGCTCCTCGGCCCCTAAAGAGGATTCCCCACTTCCTTTCTGCTCTCTTGACCTTCCTGCCCAGGCCTCCTGTTGCCCCATACCCAGAGCAGCCTCGGCTGACATGGGGGGGAGCGTGGCGGTTGCTGTGGGGCATTCCCGGACACTCAGAAACAGCTGCGGTCATCCTGTGGGTGTTTGGGGACACCGGGTTCATCTGTGTGTTGTCGTTTGTTCCCCCAGAGGAGAGAGTCACTGGAAAATCTTCCTCAGCAGCTCTCAGCATGGCCCTGGAACGTGGCCTCCTCCGTCACGGGGCCCAGCTGCCTGGCAGCCAGGCAGGAATATGCTGAGTCAAGGCCCCAAAAGTGCAGCAGGGGCAGTTAGCAGCCATTCCCCTGAATCAGCAGGAGATAGGGCCAGGGTGCAAAACCTGACCCCTTCTCCTGATAAAGCCCTGACCTTTCCAGCCCCAGAGCTCAGCCGGCATCACGGCACCCGCTCGGCCCAGACCCCTTGCCAAATGTGCAGCGAGCTCCAGGAAGCACATCACATTGCTGGCTGACACTCCGGCCGATTGGCCTTTGGGAGCAAACATGCGCCTCCAAACATGGGGCAAGGTGCGGCAAACGCCTCAGGTGGCAGGACCCAAAGGCACAGCAGATCTGGCCTCCAAAGAACGCACTGGAGCAGTGTTGGTGCTGACCTTTAAAGCCCTAAATGGCCTCGATACAGTATATTTGAAGGAGCGTCTCCACCTCCATCGTTCTGCCTGGACACTGAGGTCCACTGCCGAGGGCCTTATGGTGGTATCCTCACTGTGAGAAGCCAAGTTACAGGGAACCAGGCAGAGGGCCTTCTTGGTGGTGGCGCCTGCCCTGCAGAACGTCCTCCCACCAGATGTGAAAGAGAAAAACAACTATCAGACTTTTAGAAGACGTCTGAAGGCAGCCCTGTTCAGGGAAGCTTTTAATGTTTGATGCATTACTGTATTTTAATATTTTGTTGAAAGCTGCCCAGAGTGGCTGGGGAAACCCAGCCAGATGGGCGGGGTATAAATAATAAATTATTATAATATTATTATTATTGGCCATTGCTGCTGCTGCTGCCGAAGCGGCTGTGGTGAAGAAGCAGCAGCAGAGTTTGGATTTGATATCCCACTTTATCACTCCCCTTCAGGAGTCTCAAAGCGGCTCACATTCTCCTTTCCCTTCCTCCCCCACAACAAACACCCTGTGAGGTGAGTGGGGCTGAGAGACTTCAGAGAAGTGTGACTGGCCCAAGGTCACCCAGCAGCTGCATGTGGAAGAGCGGAGAAGCAAACCCGGTTCCCCAGATTACGAGTCCACCGCTCTTAACCACTACACCACACTGGCTCTCACTCCTTCGAGGCCAAACCTGCCTCCTCATTGGCAGCCCCCCCCCATGCAGCCTCAGTAATGGCCTCTTGATAAATAGGAGGTGCTGCTGGTCTCCTCCCACCCCCTCTACCTATATCAATATCTCAACGCTGCCCACATGCACTGAGTTGGGAAGATTTTAGGCATCACATGGCAGGACAGGGTCTCAAACAGATCTCCCAAGCCCACATTCCCAGAATGTGTCTCAGCGACCTCTACGCTGGTTTGGCCACATCCACAGAATGGAAGAGGGCAGGATCCCCCAAGGGCTCAGTAGCTTCCAGCACCAGACCAACTCTGCATGACAAAGATGTCTGCAAGTGTTACATGGAAGCTGGCGACATCAACCCTCCCATCAACCCTCCGTGTGGGAATCCCTTGCAAATGACTGCAGTGCCTGGAGACAGATTGGTTGCGCATCCCTAGCAGTGACCAGAGGAGGAATGGCCGCTTTGGGGAGCGCAGAGAGAAGAAACACCCTGGCGCATCTGCAGCAGCACAACCGGACGCCTTCCTCTGCCCCGGCTGCAACAAAACATGTCTCTCCTGTATCGGTTTCTGCAAGCACAGCAGGCGCTGCAACCTTCCAAAAGTTTGACTTCACCTCCAAAGGAACAATCCTCCATTGTTTCCTGAGACAGACGGACGCCAACAACAACAACAACAATGTTCTTTGGAAGAGAAGGGTGTTGTCCATTCAACATTTTTGTTGACTGAGGTTGTGTGGCCATCGGTCATGGATGTTTCAGCCGAGTTTCCTGCATTGCAGGGAGTCGGACGAGATGGGTCCCTTTCAGCTCTAGAATTCCATGGTTATGCAATGCAGTTTCCCAATTGAGTAAGGAGCACAAAAATGTACAGACCATGGCAAAGAGAGCCTATGTGAAATAGCAGAGAAAAATGCTTTGGATGACGGAAACAGGTTTTTGCAAAGATGCGCGCATGAAGTGAAATTGCAGGCAAGGATGTGAATATTAGGATACAAGGGTGTTAAAATGCCGGTGGATTTTCATGCAGACACCCCCACCCACAAACTGAGGTGTAAATGTGAACAACTGAAAGATGAGCAATAGAGAGAAGAAACCAGTATTGATAGATCTGTCTGTATGTAGCCCAAGAACATATTCCCTGAAAGGCTGAATGGAAAAAAATAAGCCACGGAAATGGATGCAGGTTTGTGGGTGTTCAAGGAAACCCCAGGGAGCATTAAAACGGCTAAGCAGCAGGAAACAGAGAGTAGCAATAAATGGACGATTCTCCAAAAGGAGTCAGAGAGATGTAGAAAGTTGAGTCCCCCAAGGGGACTGTACTGATTTTAACTTGATCATAGATAAAATGATTCAGAGTTAAGCGCAGGCAGTGAAGCGGCCGGGTTTGCTGATGAGACTAAATTGTTCGTGGCTGCAAAAAATATTAAGAGGCTGTGAAGAGCTCCAAGAGGACCTCTCCAAACTGAGTGAGTGGGAGGCAAAACGGCAAATGAAAATGGCAAATACAGTTCACGGAGGGACAAGGAATCTCCATTCCCCCTACGCCCTCGTGGGGTCTGTGGGCCAGGAGGGAGATCTTGGGGGTCACAGCAGAGAGCTCTCCGAAGATGGCGACCCGGAGTGTGGCCGCTGTCGACAAGGCAGGTTCCCACGCTAAGGATATTTAGGAACGGACAACGAAACTGGCAGTATCACAAGGCCAAAATACTAATCCGTGGTGTGGCCCTGTTTGGAGTGCTGTGTGTCCAGTTGAGGTCGCCTCACTGCGAAAAGGATATTGCAGAGTTGGAAAAGGTTCAAAGAAGAGCAACAGAAAGGAGGGAAGGGTGCAGCGTGTGTGTGTGTGTGGGGTTAGTTTAGAGAAAAGGCCAGTAATATGAGACACGATAAAAGTTTATAAAATGCGACATGACATGGAGAAGGTGGATAGAGGAAGGTTTTTCTCCTCTCAGAGCACTAGAATTCATGGTCATTCAAGGAAGCGGAATTTGGGAGATTCAGGATGGATAAAAGAAATTGTTAACTTGCGGAACTCCCCGCCACAGGAGGCAGGTTTGGCCACCAACCTTGGTGGCTTTAAAAGAGGGTTAGGCAAATTCATGGAGGAGGAGAGGGTTGTCAGTGGCTGTATGTTGTGGGAGGTGGCGATATTTCTGAAGCCACAGGAGAAGGAGGGAGCTCCAGTTCTGCAGCCAAGGGATGAGATTCCTGCATTGCAGGGGGTCAGACTAGACGACCCCTGAGGGTCCCGTGCAACTCTACAATTCTGCCATTCTCTCTCTCCCCCCACTTCTGGAGGACTCCCGGTCCTGGGGCAGGGATGGGGTTGGGGGGCAGCAGCAGGAGGAGGAGGGGCCACATCTGGGCAGCCAAGCCCCCTCCGCGCTCCGCTGCCGCCGCCGGGGCGTGACTCAGCCTCTCCGCGCCCCTCCGCCGCCCCACTCCCGCGACGGGGCGCAGCGAGGCGGCGGGAGTTGTTTGCGGGCGTTGCTCATCGCGACGAGGGAGGGAAGCGGCGGGGCCGGCCGGTGACTTCATCGCGGCTTCCTGGCCCGCGGCTGGGCGGGCGGGCATAAAAGCAGCCTCAGCAGGCAGCCCCAGCAACAAAAGCCGCAGCACCGAGCAAGAGTCGCTCCCGCCAGACAGAGAGAGAAAACAAGCAGGTAGGAAAGAACTGAAGCTGCTCGCTCGCTGGGCGCTTGGGCAGTCCTGCGGGCTGCAGCGCACGTCGGGAGAGGCGGACGCGAGTCCAAGCAGGGTCCCGTAGCCGCCGCGCCTGCCTTCCCGCGTTGCAGGGGCTTCAGGCTTCCTCCGGAGGGGAATCGGGACCGGGAAGAGCCCCGAAAGCGGCCCTAGGGCGGGGGCACGACGGCCAAGCGCTGTCCCGCCGCCCCCTCGAGCTGCGCATCTGGACGAAGGCGCCCCCGGGGAAGGGAGACCCCTCTCCCTGCGTCCCCCTACCCCGTCCCCCAGCCCCGCGCCCCTATTCCCAGACGGCCGAGCCGTGCGCCTTCCTCTCGTCGGGGGTCTCCTCTCTCACCGCCTTCTCCTCCCCTTCCTAGGATGCCTCAGCCGTCGAGCACGACCCCCGGCGCCTCCCGGAGCCTGGCCTGGGCTGTCACCCTGGCGGGGCTGGTGGCCCTGTCCTGGGCGTCCCCGGCGCCCCTCGCCCGGCCGGGCGTCTCCCGCGTGGCGAGCCTCTCCACCGACTTCGGCGTGCGCGTCTTCCGCGAGGTGGCCGCCGCCTCCGGCGAGCGCAACGTGGCCTTCTCTCCCTACGGCGTCGCCTCCGTCCTCGCCATGCTGCAGATGGCCGCCGCCGGCGAGACGCGGAGACAGATCCAGGACAGCATGGCTTTCAGCCTCGACGGTGAGTCCGCAGCCTGGGTGGGGGGCGCTCGCTTGAGAGGGGGCTGGAGGGGGCCGTGGGGCGCAGCGGCTCAGGGAAGCCTCCGACACTTTGTTCTGGCTTTGCTGCAACAAGGGAAACTTGAGGGTGGCAGCAAAGTTCTGCCTCGCTGGCATCCACTTGAGGTGCAGGATGCATCCCCTTAGGGGGCAGGAGAAGCCCCGCAGGACAGACCCCACCACTAGCCGGAGCAAGCCAGCCCACTGAGGCAAGAAATATGTGGGGAGAACCCCCAGCTATTTCATAGAATCAGAGTTGGAAGAGACCCCAAGGGCCATCGAGTCCAACCCCCTGCCAAGCAGGAAACACCATCAGAGCACTCCTGACATATGGTTGTCAAGCCTCTGCTTAAAGACCTCCAAAGAAGGAGACTCCACCACACTCCTTGGCAGCAAATTCCACTGTCAAACAGCTCTTACTGTCAGGAAGTTCTTCCTAATGTTTAGGTGGAATCTTCTTTCTTGTAGTTTGGATCCATTGCTCCGTGTCCGCTTCTCTGGAGCAGCAGAAAACAACCTTTCTCCCTCCTCTATGTGACATCCTTTTATATATTTGAACCTGGCTATCATATCACCCCTTAACCTCCTCTTCTCCAGCTCCCTGACACCCCAGCGGGGGCCAAGCTGGGTTGTGAAGCTGCTCTCCGGGTCCCTGAGCTGACCCCCCACCCCATGCAAGAAAGGCTGCTGCCCCAACATCCCTGGTGCTGCAGTGACATTCAGGGGCTGGTCTTGGGAGGAGGAATAATAATAATAATAATAATAATAATTTATTATTTATACCCCACCCATCTGGCTGGGCTTCCAACAAAATATTAAAATACAATAATGCATCACACATTAAAAGCTTCCCTAAACAGGGCTGCCTTCAGAACTGAGGGGTGAGTGGGTGCCCTCTTTTCCTTGCCCCCTTGAGCTCCCTGCCTCTTCCAAGCAGAGCCAGATTGATAGATGGGGGGGGGGCTGTCATGGGCTGCTTGCCTCTCAGCTATCTGGTCAAAGCACCAAAATAAACCCCAAATATTCGCTAGCTGAGCTGGTGATACAGTGGGAGTTACCCACTGTGTCAACATTCATGTTTTGTTTTGTTTTAATTGGGGAATTAGTTGTTGTTTTTAATAACCTCTTATGCAACTGGGGCGACTCATGCATTCAGATCATAGAATTGTAGAGTCATCTAGTCCCATCCCCTGCAATGCAGGAATCGCAGCTAAAGCATCCAAGACAGATGGCCTTCCAACCTCTGCTTAAAAACCTCCAAGGAAGGAGAGCCCACCATCTCCCAAGGGAGTCCGAATCTCCTTCCTTGCAATATCAAGCCATGGATTCGAGTCCTACCCTTTGGAGCAGCAGGAAACATGCTTGCTCCATCTTTCACACAGCAGCCCTGAAGATATCTGATGTTGGCTCTCATATCTCCTCTCCTCCAGGCTAAACATTCCCAGCTCCTTCAACCGTTCCTCATCAGGCTGGGTTTCCACACCCTTAACCCTCTTGGTTGCCTTCTTCTGCGCCCCTTCCGGCTTGTCAACGTCCTCTTTAAACTAGGGTGCCCAGAAATGGACACAGGACTCCAGTTGCAGTCTGATCAAGGCAGAATAGAGTGGTACTATTCCTTCCCTTGACACTAAACGTCTGCGGATGCAGCCTAGAATAGCATTCGCCTTTTTTGCTGCTGCATCACACTGTTGACTCATGTTCAGCTTGTGGACCACTAAGACCCCTGACGTCTTTCACATGCACTGCTAGTAAGCCAGGTGCCCCCATCTTCCAATGATGCAGCTGGTTCTTCCTGCCTAAGTGCAGAACCTGACATTTGTCCCTATTTTTTTAAAAAAAGTTTTTATTAAAGATTTTCTTAGGTTACAAAAGTACATACTTCTGTGCATTTTCAGATCATAAAGTCCTTTCTACAAATCAGTTATATTCGATGTGAGACTTTGATGCTGTATACAGCATAAGGTATAGGATGCAGGTGGCGCTGTGGGTTAAACCGCAGAGCCCAGGGCTTGCTGATTGGAAGATCAGCGGTTCGAATCCCCATGACGGGGTGAGCTCCTGTTGCTCGGTCCCTGCTGCTGCCCACCTAGCAGTTCGAAAGCACATCAAAGTGCAAGTAGATAAATAGGTACCGCTCCAGTGGGAAGGGAAACGGCGTTTCCGTGCGCTGCTCTGGTTAGCCAGAAGCGGCTTAGTCCTACTGGCCACATGACCGCTGTACGCCGGCTCCCTCGGCCAGTAAAGCGAGATGAGCGCCACAACCCCAGAGTCGGTCACGACTGGACCTGATGGTCAGGTGTCCCTTTACCTTTACCTATTCTTATCAGAGTTTGGAGTCCCAACAGATATTGGGGTCGTCAAAGTCTCCCATTACTGCTATATCTCTCCTTTTTGAATCTTGGGTAGTCTGCTCTAGGAAGGCATCACCCAAGTCTTCTGGCTTGGCGGTCTCTAGCAGACACCCACAGTAAGGTCCCTGTTGTTTTTCTCTCCTGAAATTTATACCCCTATACTCTCAACCTGCCTTCCACGCTCCAAGTCATGGATTTCTCCTCAAGTGTACACATCCTTTATATACAATGCTGCTGCTCCTCCCTTCCTGTTTGGTCTGCTCCTCTTGAACCGGTTATAACCTTCAGTTCTGACATTCCAGACGTCAGCCTCACCCTGCCAAGTAATGCCTTCAAGGATCACCCTCCTTGTCATGTGAAGCCATTGGTTTGGGTAGATGGTGCCTTGAGAAACGAGCTGCAGTGGACAATGAAAAAGTGGAACAAATGGAGAGAGAGAAAAGGGGAGGAACGCTCGTATTTACGGGACCGCCTCTCCTGGTCTGCCCCGCAGAGGACCTTAAGGTCCATGAAGAACCATAGTTTAGAGGTCCCTAAGGAAGTCAGATTATCCTCCGCCAGGGCCAGGGCCTTCTCAGTGGTGGCTCCGACCTGGTGGAATGCTCTGTCCCAGGAGACCAGGGCCCTGCAGGATTTATCCTCCTTCCGCAGGGCCTGTAAGACAGAGCTATTCCACCTGGCTTTCAATTTGAACTTAGCCTGATCTTTTATTCCTCTTCCTTCCCTTTTTATGAAGATCACCCGCTCTGAGACCCCACAGCTAATTCTCCCCTGGTCTCCTCGCTGGCCCAAATTGGACTAATTTAGCCAGCTAGCCCTGGGGATCATCTAATGTTTATTGGATGGATTTCCCCCCTAAATTGATTTTTTGAATTCTGAATTTATTGTTATTCGTGTTTTATACTGTATTTTATGCTGTTTTTTGTTGCATCAATAAAGTGTTTTAAATTTGTTGTTAGCCATCCCGAACCCGGTTTTCTGAACCGGGAAGAGCGGGGTATAAATAAAAAATTATTATTTATTATTAATGATCTCCCGCCCTCGCTGGGCGCTTCCTCCCTGCAGAGTGGGGCATCCCCAGAGCCCTGCGTTGGTTGCAGAAGGCGCTGACGGACCCCAGGAACAAAGATGTAGTGGACACGGCTGACGCCCTCTTTGTGCAGAGGGACCTGGAGCTCAGCCCGGGGTTCATGCCCCACTTCCACCGGGTCTTCCGCCAGACGGTCAAGCAGGTGAACTTCACGGAGAGCGAGGAAGCACGCAGGATCATCAACAGCTGGGTGCAGGACCACACGAAAGGTGAGTCTCTCTCTTGGCAGCACTGCAAGGGAAAGGGGGAACTGGGCCGCCTGACAGTCACGATGATTGACAGGTGGGCAGGCCCATGGGGGGGGACAACGCAGGATCCAGCCCACTTGACAGAAAGGGTTATTTTTTTTATTATTTGAGGACATATTGTAAACCAAGTAAAACATTAGTGAGGTTGATATAAACACGCACAGTAAGAGATAATAAAGGGAAGGATGAGGGAAAATTTATAAATGTATTTGAATGGGATATGCAATAATAAAAATATATGAACTGCAGAAGGGAGAGGGAGGAAAGTTGAGGGAAAGGTAAATTAGATTTGTAAAGTTTTCCCACCCTGACTAAAATATTTGTAAAAAATGAAAAATGAAATTAAAAAAGAATTTCCCACACAGTGTTCGAGAGTATTGCAGGGAGCTGAAATAAATAAGGGAAGAAAAGAGGAAAAGTAAAAGTAATAAAAACAGAGGAAAGCAAGAGGAACAAAATAACAAAAAAAATATAATCAAAGTTACAGAACTATATATATGTGGATAAATTTATTGTTTCCCTCCAGTATATGTTGATTCATGGGTCTCTATGGTTTCCATAAACATGTTCCAAAGGTCATTAAATTTGTCCCTGCACAATCTCTGCCTGCAAGGGATCTGTTCATGGGGTGCAAGAGATGCCTGCCATCTGTCCAGTTGTTATTTTTATTATGCATGTTGTGTCTTTACGCTGCGAACCGCCCTGAGGTTTGTGGGCGAAGGGCGGTGTGCACATCTGACAGAATGCATGCCTTCCCCCAGGGATGATCCAGGACTTCCTGCCCGAGGGGACCCTGGACCACATGACCCGCCTGGTCCTGGTGAACGCCATCCACTTCAAGGGCCTCTGGAACCTGCCCTTCCCAGAGGCGGCCACCAGGGAGCGCCTCTTCCACAAGCTGGACGGGAGCACCCTCTCCGTCCCCATGATGGAGCAGACGGCAAAGTGCAACTACGGTGAGCAGCGGCGTCAAGCGGGGCTTGCCGAGAGGTGGGGTGGGAAGGGGTCTTCCTCCTCCTCCTCCTCCTAGAGAATGAGGTCATCAATGTGTCAGGAACGTGGGCCCCCCAGAGCACAGCCTCAGAAATTGAACTAAGCGAGCAAGGAGCTGAGTTTAGAGAGCACAGCCCGGCCCCCTCCCTCCCAGGGAAGAAGCTGTTAGCTCCCAAGGAGAGGGAGAGTTAGAAGTCGACAGGAGCGCTGCCAGGCAACTAGCAGATAAGCCTGAGGCTGTGTCTTCGGGGATTGGGGAGAAGACAGGCCAGCCGTTCAGTCCCCAAACTAGGAGACGAGAGAAGCTCAGAGAACAACAGAAGGGAAGGAGAAGAAAGGCGGGGTTTTGGCGTTCTTCCTGGTGGAAGAATGAGTCAGACTGAGCAACTACTGTTAATGAGAGCAGGCGGGAGGGACGTGCTCTGGACGTGTTTCTTCTTGTAATTAAACTTGTAAGCAACATAAAGCCGTTGCTGCTTCTCAGGCTGCTTGTTTGCCAGAGACCGTTATGCAACGGCTACTAGTCAGGATGGCAATGCTCCGCATCAGGAACTCTTCTGAATCCCAGCTGCTCAGGAGGGAAGACTTGCTCTTGTACTCAGCTTGTGGGTTTGCCACTGTGAGAACGGGAGGCAGGACTAGAGAGGCCATTGGCTGATCCAGCAGCTGGGCTCCTCTCATGGAATCTCCAGGTCCAGGTGCAGTCTGTCTAGAGTCCTAGGGCTATCTTAGGGGTATCTGGCCACTGTGAGGACAGGGTGCTGGACCAGGTGGCCCCCCTTTGGCCTGACCCAGCCGTCTCTCCTTCTGTTCTTACGCCCTCCTGTCCTTTCCTCTGCAGGCGAATTCTCCAGCCCTACAGGAGTGGAGTACGATGTCATCGAGCTGCCCTACCAGGGGGAGACCCTCAGCATGCTCATTGCCGCCCCCTTTGAGCTGGACACCCCGCTCTCTGCCCTGACCAACATCATGGACTCCCAGCTGGTGGCCGAATGGAAGAGGAACATGACGGAAGTGACAAGGCTCCTGGTCCTACCCAAGTAGGTGCCTCAACACTTCACCTGAGGAGGGCAGGTGGGAATGTGGGGAGCCAAGACTCCCCTGGGGCCACGCCAGGCCCCCATCTCTCCTGTTGGATGGATTTAGATGAGCAGGGGTGGGTAGTTTATTAATTATCCTTCCTCTCCCTTACTAGTATGCAAGTATCTATTAAGTAAAGGTAAAGGGACCCCTGACCATTAGGTCCAGTCATGGCCAACTCTGGGGTTGCGGTGCTCATCTCGCTTCATTGGCCGAGGGAGCCAGCGTATAGCTTCCGGGTCATGTGGCCAGCAGGACTAAGCCGCTTCTGGCGAACCATGGAAACACCATTTACCTTCCCGCCAGAGCAGTACTTGCACTTTGACGTGCTTTTGACGTGCTTTTGACCTGCTAGGTTGGCAGGAGCAGGGACTGAGAAACAGGAGCTCACCCCGTCGCGGGGATTTGAACCGCCGACCTTCTGATCAGCAAGTTCTAGGCTCTGTGGTTTAACCCACAGCGCCACCCGCGTCCCTAAGTATCTATTACAGCAGAGTAAAATCTCCACCCGTGCGCAGCTTATCTGTAGAAGCTCTTGGGAGAAGTTTATATAACCTCTTGGAACAATTATGATATCCAAGGATGCAAACTTGGATTATCTTCTCCCATTTATGTTCCCCTCTTAACAAGGAAATGACTCTCAAGACTGTTTAAGTAAGCCAGAAAAACGTAAGGTTTACTCACATTAAAAGTCTTGCCAGGTTTCAACAGTTACAGTGGTGAAAATCAAAGAGGTAGTAATCCCTAAACGTTACAAAACTCTAAAGCCCAGTTCAAAATGGAGTGTGCTTTCTGGGAAACCCAGCCAGATGGGCGGGGTATAAATTATTATTATTATTATTATTATTATTATTATTATTATGGAGGGAAGCTTACAGACATCTTACCCCATTATAGGTAAGAAGTGTGTGCAGTGACAGGGAGGAGTAAAGATTAACTTTTTACTATTTCCCTTCCCACCACAAAAGTTTAGAGAATATGAAATTCTGGAGTCCCCCGTCTGTGACTATCTAGCAATCATGCCAGCTGTGATTTGGGTGCTGATCCTGCCACATCTCCCAGCCATGGTGTGGAGCTGGTGGCTGCCTGGACTGTGACACACACACCCTCACCTCTCGCCTTCCTTTTTCTGCAGATTCTCCTTGGAGAGCGAAGCGGACCTCCGGGGGCCCCTGGAGACCCTGGGGATGAAGGACATGTTTGACGCAAGAAAAGCCAACTTCAGCAGCCTATCAGGTCAGTCCCTTCTGATCCCTGTGTGAAGACCCTTCTGGTTGTCTGGACCCCAGGGTGCCTGATTGTAGCTCCCCAATTGCAGTATGTGAGAACGTGTTTCAGAGTTAAGGCAGCGATGCTTCTGAATCCCAGATATTGCAGGGAGTGCTGCTTTTGTGCAGGGAAACTCTCCTTTGGGAAGCTGGTTGGCCCCTGTGAGAGCAGGGTGCTGGGCTAGGCAGGCCACCGGCCGGATCCAGCAAGCTCTGTTTTTGGGGGACAGAAGGCGGGCAGGTGTGGAGGACTCCCTGGTCCTGAATGGGGTAACTGGGCCCCTGAAGGACCAGGTGCGCAGCCTGGGAGTCATTTTGGACTCCCAGCTGTCCATGGAGGTGCAGGTCAATTCTGTGTCCAGGGCAGCTGTTTACCAGCTCCATCTGGTATGCAGGATGAGACCCTACCTGCCTGCAGACTGCCTTGCCAGAGTGGTGCATGCTCTGGTTATCTCCCGCTTGGACTGCTGCAATGCGCTTTGCATGGGGCTACCTTTGAAGGTGACCCGGAAACTACAACTAATCCAGAATGTGGCAGCTAGACTGGGGACTGGGAGTGGCTGCCAAGACCACATAACACCGGTCATGAAAGACCTACATTGGCTCCCAATACGTTTCCAAGCGCAATTCAAAGTGTTGGTGCTGATCTTGAAAGCCCTAAAAAGCCTTGGTCCAGTATACCTGAAGGAGCGTCTCCACCCCCATCGTTCTGCCTGGACACTGAGGTCCAGCTCCAAGGGCCTTCTGGCGGTTCCCTCCCTGCGAGAAGCCAAGTTACAGGGAACCAGGCAGAGGGCCTTCTCGGTGGTGGCACCCGCCCTGTGGAAGGCCCTCCCACCAGATGTCAAAGAAAAAAACAACTACCAGACTTTTAGAAGACATCTGAAGGCAGCCCTGTTTAGGGAAGCTTTTAATGTTTGATGTATTACTGTATTTTAATATCTGGTTGGAAGCTGCCCAGAGTGACTGGGAAAGCCCAGCCAGATGGGCAGGGTATAAAGAATATATTATTATTATTATTATTATTTATTATTAAAGCAATAACAAAGAGGTCCTGTTGAGCATGTGCCGAGGGCCTTGGCCTGACCGCAGCCTGCTCCCAGACTACACAGGAAAGTCAAACAGCATTTTGGGCTTTTTAGGGGTGTGCTGCGGAAGCAGCCACCCAATCAGAGAGCTGTTTTCTCCTTCCACACTCCAAATAAAAATATATTGCACTGTTGCAGAGGATGCGGCGGGGGCTATATTGATGCCCAGCTTGCTTTTAGCATTGTAGAGTTTGAAATGGTTCCCACGGGTTGTGTAGTGCAACCCCACCAGCAACGCAGGAATCACAGCAACAGAATCCCTGGCAGATGTGCCTCCCGTCTCTGCTTAGAAACCTCAAACGACTCATAGAATTGTAGGGTTGGATGGGTCCCCCAGTGGTCATCCAGCCCAACCCCACATGGGATGCAGGAATTGCAGCGAAAGAAGCCCTTGCAGACGCCCATCTGACCTCTGTTTGAAAACACTTGGACATCCCAGCTGAGAACGAGGCAGCCAATGGCCCCCCTTGCCCCCTCCTGCCCCTCAGCGGCCCCCTTCCCCTGCTCACTGCCTTGTCCCCCTTTGCAGACCAAGAATCCCTCTTTGTGGCTCAAGCCCTGCAGAAGGTGAAGATCGACGTGAATGAGAGCGGGACGGAGGCCTCCTCTGCTACAGGTGAGGGTCGCTGTTGCTGGGAAAGGGTGACCCACTTCTCCTTCCTGCAGTTGTATTTTTTTGGGGGGGGGGGTCGGGGGAGTTTTGAACCTGCTTATCAGAGCTCTGATGAGCTTACTTCCCCTTCAGAAATGTTCTGAACTGCTTAATATAAAAACCAGTGAGCAATAAAATTCAGGTATGCAGTAATGCTGTCAGTGTGTCAGATAACATCGGGAAGTACCAAAAAGACAAGGTGAGAGAACGCCAAGCAGGCCAGGCCCACCTTGAATGGCCAGGGAAAGCCTGGGGGGGGGGGAGGGTTGTATCCAAAAGACACCTGGAGCAGGTGACCAAAGATGGAACCTCATTTCCTGCATCATCCCAAATAGCCGCGGCAGAAAATGCCCTTGTTAACCTTTCGCCTTTCCCCAAAAGCAGAGCACATGAGCACTGACCCTATTGCTTAGGGGGTCTTTGGAGGTTTCATCCAGACACACCCCACTGCATCTCTTTCCTGGGGTTACCCTAAACAGCCAGCTCATTTCCCAGGCTGTCCTCTGGGCTGCCTCCAGTTCCTCACATTGATGCAGCCCTCAAACTCCTCTTCCTTTCTAAAAATCAATTTTATTAATTGATAAAAAAAATTGATAATATCAGTTTTATTATCAACATAAAAGGAAATGGTAAAGGAACCCCTGACCATTAGGTCCAGTCATGACCGACTCTGGGGTTGCTGCGCTCATCTCGCTTTATTGGCCGAGGGAGCCGGCGTACAGCTTCCGGGTCATGTGGCCAGCATGACTAAGCCGCTTCTGGCGAACCAGAGCAGCGCACGGAAACGCCGTTTACCTTCCCATCAGAGCGGTACCTATTTATCTACTTGCACTTTGACGTGCTTTCGAACTGCTAGGTTGGCAGGAGCAGGGACCGAGCAACGGGAGCTCACCCCGTCGCGGCGATTCGAACTGCCGACCTTCTGATTGGCAAGTCCTAGGCTCTGTGCTTTAACCCACGGCGCCACCCGCGTCAACATACTATACAGTAAAATCCAAACTAAGCTAAACAGAAAAATAAAAAAGCAACATATCAAACAGAAAGAAAACTAAAGAGAAATAGGAAGTATGATGCAATAAGAAATAAGAATCGTGTTTCCTTTCCTCAGCTGTCATCATCTATGCCCGGATGGCCCCCCTGGAGATTGTGATGGACAGGCCCTTCCTCTTCCTCGTGCGACACAACCCAACCGGTAAGAGCGCTTTTCACAGAATCGTAGAGTTGGAAGGGACCCCTAAGGGTCATCTAGCCCAACCCGCCACAAGGCAGGAATTGCAGCTCAAGAAACCCTGATTCCCACGGCCACCGACCTTTGCTTAAAAGCCTCGAAGGAAGGAGAGCCCCACACCTTCCGAGGGCGTCCGTTCCACTGTAAAACGACTCTTGCCTTCAGGATGGTTTTCCTGATGTTGAGTCGAAATCTCCTTCCCTGCAATTTGTGGTTTTGCTTCTGCAGAGAACAAATTTGCTCCACCTTCCGCGTGACAAACCCTGTAAACAGAGCAAGGCTGCGTTTGAGAACGGTGCAAGGCTGCCTCCTGGCGGCTGCCTCTGGGACCACCCAGCCTTATTTTATTTTTTTCCTCCAAGGCGGGAGTGACCTTTGAACCCACCTATATTATATAGTCATCAATGCATTTTATATCCCACCTTTTCCTGTGTTAGCGTAGAAATCTGAGTTCTCCCTTGGACAAAAAACAAGGACCCCAGCCAGGAATCCCAGCCAAACAGCAGCCAGTCGGCTTGGTCTTGATTGAAGACTGTCGTGACAGGACTCCCACCTGCCACAAAGTGGAACAAGATGGAAGCCCCATACAAAAGAGAACCCAAACTTTTATTAGCTGCTAATCCCCATGTTACACCCCCCCAAACTACATCACTAATACATCATGAAAGGGGAGGTCTGGTGGCAGGAATCTGAGCATCCTGGACCCTGCCCCATGGTTCCCCTTGCCCTCCACCAAACACCCATCCACTGAAGCAAAAGATATATTTACATTTCCCTGTTTCCCAGCCAAGTCAATCCCACCTTTTTGTCTTCATCTGGGTTTGCTATTTCTGGAATGGCTACCTGTCTGGCACTCAGGTATCAGGAGGCCAGGGATTATCCCTCAGGCAGAGGGGCTGCTGAGTAGCTGAGCTCACAGGCCTATATGAATTTCTGAAGTTTTCCCAGTGAGCCAGTACACAGATGCATTTATCAGTGAATTCTTACATTTGGTATTGTGCAGCAGAGGCCCTTTGAATAGATAGGAAGAAACTGTGATGAAGTGTTTTGTGGGGACAAATCACAAAAGTCACAAAAGTGATGGTGCTGGTTTTGGTAGTGGGCTGCATGTGCAGGATATCTGCTAGAGGGGCAACCCCCACCCCCCCAATCTATACATAAATTCGTGCAACACTTCTCTTTCTTTCCTTTCCAGGCACCATCCTATTCATGGGGCAGGTGATGGAGCCCTGAGTGACCCCCATCTTGTTCAGCCAGAATCTCTCAGGAGCCGGAAGAAGTTTTTCCTCCCTTTCTGTTCCCCTCCCTCTACATTCCCCCCCCCCCAAGAGAGACCTGCCGCCAGCCGCGACCTCCCTCCGCCTGCTGCTGAGTGGTAGCACCAGGCACAGCACCCTCTCACCCCCCAGGGAAGAAGCCTCAGTTGGTCTTTCGGCTGGGAAGAGGCTGCCCCCTCTGCCCCCTGGGGCAGAAGAGAGCCGCTCTTCAGAAAGACAAGGCTCCAGCCACGATGTCCGCACAGCCGCTTCTGCCTCCGCCAGAGTCCTCCTTGCCGGGGGGGGCTGGGGAGCAACTGAGCACCCTTGCTCACCCTCGGATGGGGTGGGGCTGCGGCCAGGCCAAGAAATCCCCGATGATGTGTGCCCCCTACCTCACACTGGACTGGAACCCTGCCCAGTCAGGGCTAGTGGCTTCATTTGATGTTTACGCCGGAGTAGAGCAGGGATCTCTGCCTTCTCTCTTTATTATTATTCTTAAGTATGTATGTATGTGTTTGGAGCGGGGGGGTGTTGTGTCCCCCCCCCATCGGATGTGGATGGGTGGGGGCTGCAGATTAGCACTTTGAATACGTCCATTTTCCTTCTGCACTGCTGAGATGGACATTTGTGATGAAGTATGTTTTAACAGAGAGGCTTAATATAAGTTTGGCTTACTGTTTGAATTTAATGAAATATGTTGTTGGGGTGGTGATGATGATTATGATGTGAGCAACCTTCCCTTCCTCCTCTTGTGCCCCCCTGAGGAAGGGCAGCATCCCTCCTTCTTGCAAGATGCCTGCTCTGGAAAGGGCTAAGAAAACTGCACGCATCTCCAAACATTCCCGAAAAGAATCTCCTCCTTTCTTTCAACCCCCAACACGCCTGGCCTTAACATGGCCCAGTTTTCCTTACGCGGAGACCTTTGAGATGCTACAGATTCTGCAATTTCTGGCACACAGAAGGAGCCCTTTTGCCCAGACCCCCAAGAGCCACGGGGTCTTCTGCAAGCAAAAAACCGAGGCCTCTCTTTTGGAAACCCTGCAAAGTTTCGAGGCAAGCTTGCTGTGACCCACATGGGCCCAGAAGCTGCTGCGAATGGCGCTGTGCCAGCAGCCTTTGCCAGCCTGAGGGACACCCCCCCCCATTTCTGCTTAATGGCTCTCTGGCCCGAGTTCCCCCGTCCTTGTGATTTCCCAGGACAGCGTCCAGTTAATTGTAAAAATGGCACTGGGATTGCTGAGCCCAGCAGACGCGATGTTTTGCCCAGAGGCCTTGGCTGCCCTCCAAGTGGATTATCCCCTCCAGATCCGCTGAGCTGGGCGGCTGCCGGGGACCCCCCAGCGAGGGCCCTTGAAGGCTGAGCTTGGTACAAATTGGGCAGGGGGGGAAGGTAGAGGGCACCCCCCACATAGGTGGGGAAGGACATCCCAAAGGAAAGCTGGTTTTGTGCAGCGCTGAAAGAGAGCAAACTGGAAGCGCTTTGGGAGCAAGCCAGTTCTGAGTGCCCCCCTCCTCAAGAAGTAAAAGTGCCAGCATTCAGATATTTAATTGGGGCCTGGGAGTCACCTTGAGATTCAGGTGCCTGCTGATTTTAGCTGACTCAGGAGCATCCATCTCTTGTGAGAGGCTCCCCAGGGCGTCTGAGAAGGACCTCTGTTTTCCCCTCTGCTGACCAACTGCCCCACGGCTAGGAGGTCACGCCTGCCCCCTGCCCCCTTGCGCTGCCTCAAAAACCAGTATTTATACAGAGAGATCGAATTCTATTCCTAGAGGAGGTTATTTTTTCACTTTTCTTGTACAGAAATCTGATTTATATTTGTATATATATAACTATTTCTATACGTGTGTTTGCGGGGAGAGTATTTTGCATTCTACTTTTGATAGGAAATAAAAACACTACGACCATCTTGGCGGCTGTGTCTGTCCTGAGTTTTCTCTTGAGCAAAACGGGTCCCGATTCTGGGCTTCTCCTACACCCCTGCAAGCCCATTCCCAAACCTACAGGTTGGTGCAACCTACAGCAGCCTCTGGCACCGAGGGAAGAGAGACTCGGTTTATTGCCTAAAAGCGACTATGGGGCAGCCCCACAAAGCTCCCTCTTGCAGACCTTCTTCCTTCTGCTTCGGTCAGAGCCCCACTTGCCCCGACACCCCATAGAAAGGTCCTGGCCTGCCTGGCACCACAAATGGGGGGTGGGCCAATGAGATACTTACGCAGCCCATAAGCATTTTCCTGGACGTTCTGAGGTTTTGCTGGCTGGGTGGTGAATTTGGGGGGAAATTGACTGATTTATTTTTTGACAGGGTTTTGATCTGGGTTGCTGTGTGGGATATTTATTCATTGCACTGGAACCCCCACCTGTTCCGCCCAAGGATCTCATGTGGTTCTCCCACTTCCTCATTTAATTCCCACCACAACCCTGTGAGGTTGACTAGGCTGTGAGAGGCAGGGACTGGCTCCTCAGGGACCCCCAGGGGTCATCCAGCCCAACCCGCTGCATGCAATGCAGGAATCTCAGCTGAAGCCCCCCAAGCTCTGCTTAAAAACCTCCAATGGAGGAGAGACCACTCCCTCCCAAGGGAGACCCTTCCGCTGTAACCACTCCACTCCACCACCGGCTCTTATTAAAAAGAAATTAGGGAGAGGGGAGAGGAAAAAATGGATTGAATGTGGCTTTGTCGGGGGGGGGGGCAGAATAAGGGGTTGAAGTGACCTGCAGCTGGAAGGGACCCTCAGGGGTCATCCAGCCCAACCCCATGCAGTGCAGGAGCTGCAGGTGGAACTCATGGGGACTTGAATGGCGAGGGGTGGGGAGGTCAAGGAGGAGGAACTGGATGGGGCAAGCGGGGGTGGCGCAAGTGTTCCTGAAGCAGAGTGTCTCTAATGGGATCATAGGATTGTAGAGCTGGAAGGGACCCCCAGGGGTCATCCAGCCCAACCCACTGCATGCAATGCAGGAATCTCAGCTGAATCACCCAAGGCAGAGGGCCCCCCAACCTCTTCTTAAAAACCTCCAAGGAACTGTAACCACTCTGCTCCACACCAACTCTTATTAAAAAGAAATGAGGGGGAGGGGAGAGGGGGAAATGGGGGGGCAGAATAAGAGGGGCTGAAGCATAGCTGTCAAGCGTCCCTTATTTGGCGGGAGAGTCCCTTATCCCAGCGCCATGTCCCGCTGCTGTCCCTTTTGGATGAGGCTTCGTTTGGCTGCTGGCTGGGCTTTCTGCCTTTGGCTCCGAAGGGCTCAGAAGTTGAACATACCTGTGCCTGGAAAATCCCTTATTTAGAGGCTGCTGGTCCCTTATTTAGAGGCTGCTGGTCCCTTATTTTCAAATCTGTAAGTTGACAGCTATGGGTTGAAGTGACCTGCAGCTGGAAGGGACCCCCAGGGGTCATCTAGCCCAACCCCCTGCAATGCAGGAATCCTGAACGCAGCAGACCCTGGGTTGGGGGCTCATAAATTAGCAGATGCAAGTGGGGGGTCTTCAATTGCGCCCCCTTTCCCCTTTCCCACACCCACCGGAGGAGACTCCTCCCTTCCCTCGCAGCCTCCCTCCCGGATGACGTCACCGGAGGAGGCCCCTCCCTCCCTCCTCCTCTCCGGCTTCCCCGCCCCTCCCGTCGCCCGGGGAGACAGGCCCCGCCCCCGCCCGGTTGCCTTGGCGACGGGGAGCGAGAGGCGCCCCTCCCGCCCGGAAGCGGGCGTCGCAGTGCGCAGGCGCGGCCCCGGGGCGGGGGGCGGGCGGGGGCGGGTCCGGCCGGGAGGCACCTGGGCAGGTTCGGGCCGCGGAAGAGGAGCCGGAGGGCCGCAGGGGCCGCGCCGAACGGCCCGCCACGGACCGACGCCCGACATGGTGAGCGGGGGGGGGGCGCGGGGAGGGACCCCCATCCGGCGCCCCGGGGGAGGAGGGGGGCTGGCTCCCACGTGGCAGGGCGGCCACTTCCGGGCCCGGGTGCAAGGGGGGCTGGATCCTTCCCCGGGAGAGGGGTGTCGCCCCCCAGAGCAGAGGGACCCCCTCTCCTCCTCCCCCCTCCAGAGCAAGGGCGCCTCTGAGCATGGGCAGACGGCGGGGAGAGCAGCGCCACGGGGGGCTTGGCAGGCGGAAGAGATCCCCCCCCAAGAAAGACCCCACAGATCACAGGGCAGGGATGACCCCCAGCAAGGCTTTGAGTTGCTCACCCCACCCCACAAAACCAGCCGGTCCCCTGGGTGGGGGTCCGCTGCGCCCCCCACCTCTCCCTCCTCGCAGCGCCAAGGGGGGCTTGGCAGGCGGAAGAGATCCCCCCCCCAAGGAAGACCCCACAGATCCGCCGCGGCGGCCCCCACGGGGCAAGGGGGTCCCCGGCGGGAGGGGGAGGTGGTTTCCGCTGACCCCCAGCAAGGCTTTGAGTTGCTCACCCCCCACAAAAGCAGCCGGTCCCCTGGATGGGGGTCCGCTGCGCCCCCCACCCCTTCCTCCCTCCTCGCAGCGCCCAGGGGGTCGAGGGGGTTTCCGGAGCCCCGCCCCGCCCCGCCCCGCCTGCCTCCCTCCCGCTGCCCCCCCCCCCGCCTCTCCCTGGCGCCTCCGCCCCGTCCCCCCCACGTCCCGCCCCACGGGAAAGGCACGTCCTTGTCGGCTTCGCCTGCCAGCTCCTTCCCTCCTCCTGGGCCATTAGCGGAATTGGCCGGCGAGGCCTCTGGGGTGGGGAGAGACTGGGGCAAAGGCAGCACTTGTGGGGCAGGATTTCCGGGTGTGCTTTTTATCAAGGGCGGGGGGGGGGTCGCTGATAAAGAAGCAAGGCTAGCTCAGTTCCTAAAGCTCGAGATTCTGGGTCTCAGGGCTGTGGGTTCGAGTCTCCTGCATTGCAGCGGGTTGGACTAGATGACCCTCGGGGTCCCCTTCCAACCCAGTGTGTGGATTCGGGGTCACCGCCTTTGCCAGGCGTTTTGGGCAGGCCCGGAGGGAAGTGGCGCCTAGTGGGTGTTGCAAAGCCCCTGCTCGCTCCCTCCCACTGCCGGGAGTGGCCGCCTCTTCCTACCTGAGCCGCCCCTCCTGGCTCACCTGTTGAGGCTTGTTGGTGACTCTCCCAGGGAGGATTTCTCAGCTGCGCTCGACCCGCCTTCCCTCCGACGCACGCAGCTGCCACCAGGAGCGCATAGTTGCCCTGCGGAACTCCCTGCCACAGGAGCCAAGGCATGGCTTTAAAGGGCAAATTCCTGGAGGAGGAGAGGGCTAGCTGTGGCCACGGTTGTAGATCCCAGTTTCAGGAAACCCCAGGAGGCAAGAGGTGTCCTGCGGAGATCCTTTTGCCAGAGGGGCTATGGAAGGGGGGAAGCCTTTATTATTATTATTATTATTATTATTATTATTATTATTTTCTCTCCAGCAAAAAGGGGTGTCAGACAAGTCCGGAAAGGGAGTGGGGCCCGGACTCCTGGGTTCTTTAGGAAGAGGAGGGGGAACCTGGGAATCTGTGGGAGGGGTCTTTGTGGATTGGTTTTTTTAATATATGTATATTACATTTTTAAATTATTACTCATTTATTGTTTACTGGTTTTGTACGCCGCCGTAGATCTCAGGGCTGTCCGCAGCATAAAACTACGACATAAAAACCGCAAAATGCATAGTAAAAGTAAGAATAAGAAGAAACCAAGGACCACTCCCCTAATTCCCACAACCCTTTTTTTAAAAACCGCCCTGAGATCTGCGGAGGGAAGGACTGTGGGAAAATGTAATAAATGAATGAATTTTTGTTCTGCCTCTGGAGGGGAAAGTTCTGATCAGCCTCCCTTGGGCTGCTTTAAGGCAGGCTGCGTCTGTGTGGCCCCCCCAAAAAAGAAATTTTGAAAGGGCCTCATTCTGTGCTTGCAGGGGACCCCCTTGCTTTGCAGGATATAATTTTCTTGGGATTTTTTTTGGGGGGGGGGTTGCTGCTTGCTGCAAAAGGAGGTCCCCCCTGACCTCCCCCACCCTCCCACCTCTCCTCTCCGCCCCCCCCCAGATGCGCTTCATGCTCCTCTTCAGCCGCCAGGGCAAACTGCGCCTCCAGAAGTGGTACTTGGCCACGTCCGACAAGGACAAGAAGAAGATGGTGAGGGAGCTCATGCAGGTGGTCCTGGCGAGGAAGCCCAAGATGTGCAGTTTCCTGGAGTGGAGGGACCTCAAGGTGGTCTACAAAAGGTGACTCTCGAACCCGCTCCCCACCCGCTGCGACTCCGGGTTGGGCTGGATGACCCCTGGGGGTCCCTTGCAACACTGCGATTCTTGGAAGGTGGCGGCCTCTCCACCACTGGAGGTCTGCCATCAGGGAGCCTTCGGCTGCGACTCCTGTGTTGCAGCGGGTTGGGATGGATGACCCCTGGGGGTCCCATTCCGTCTTGTCCACAAGAGCATCAGGACAAGGTTTGGAGGCCGGAAACAAGCGGCAGCTGCTTGGAAAAGGCCAGGAGGAAGCAGAGGAGCCTCTGTCTGGCTCCGGGTAGCTCTGCTGGGGAAAAGTGTGTTGCGGGTGCGGTGCCTCCACCGAGAAGGCCCTGCCCTGCTCCTGTTGCAGGAGGTCCCTTGGCCCAAGAGGGGCACCACTTTCTCTGGGCCCCAAGCCCCCACCTTGAAGGGGGTGACCTGGTTGTCGATTTCTCCTTAGCTGCCCTGGGGTGTGGATTGGAAAGCCCCCCCAAGCTTTGCTCACTCTGAGTTGGTCCCTGTCCATTAAGGGGGGGCACTCATTCTCTCTCTCTTTTGGGGGGGCAGGAACGGAGAATAAGCAGCCCCCCTCCCTAGGGAATGAAGGACTCTTAGACCCACAGATTGCTTTATCTCAGGCAGGAGTGGGGGGAGCCCCAGACCCAGAGGCTGCGTGTGGCCCCCCATTCCCTTCTGTGTGGCCCTTGCCAGCTCTCCTTTGTGTTTCTTTGCCCGGCTGATTCCTTCGAACTCTGCTGGCGTCTCTTTCTTGGCTTCGCAGAGGGCGAAGTCTCAGCAGGAACTACCCCATTGTACAATACTAAAATATATATTTTTAACAGCAACAGCTCCGCCCCCTTTTACCTCTGGCCCCGCCCCCTGGAGTGTGTGGCCCTCAGAGGCTTGCTCAGAAGCGGAAGGTGGCCCTCGGTTTCTCTGTGCTCTGAACGGCCTCGCAGGGCTGTGCTGAAGGGAGAAGCCTTCTGAGCATAGCTGTCAACTTTCCCCTTTTCTTGCGAGGAATCCTATTTGGAATAAGGGAATTTCCCTTTAAAAAAAGGAAAACGTTGACAGCTATGCTTCTGAGACTAATTATTGCCCCATCACTGCTGCTGTGGGGCAGAGGGTGGGGTGGGCAGGTGAACCCCAGGTGACGGCACCTTTCTGTGGGTGCCTGCAGAGATAGCATTGTCCTGCAGGGGGCACCCTGAGCTCACCTTGGCTCCTCTGTGGCCAAAGGTTGCCTTTGCAGGTGCGCACGGGGTTAATAAGGGCCCTGTGCCCCACACACCCCACTTCCGGCCAGCATAGGTACCTGCTCCCCCCCCTCACCTGGAAATGGCTGGCCGGTCGCCCCAGGGAGGGCAAGGCAGGCTTGGGTGGTGGTGGGCAGCTGGCGGCCTCTTCAAGGGGGCACGGCGGGGAGGGGGAGGAGGCTGCCCCCCAGGTGAGCGAGGCAGCGGCAGAGCTGGAGTCCTGACCCCCTTTTTCCGCCCTCCTGCCCAGGTACGCCAGCCTGTATTTCTGCTGCGCCATCGAGGGCCAAGACAACGAACTCATCACTTTGGAGCTCATCCACCGATACGTGGAGCTGCTGGACAAATACTTTGGCAGCGTGAGTTGTGGGGAGGGGCTTCTCCTGGGGGTTGGGCTAGATGACCCTCAGGGTCCCAATTCTAGGATTCTGTGACTGCAGAACGCTCTTTTCCTGCTTCTTTGTGGGTGTAAAAAGCACCAGCATTCCGCCCCCCTCTCTGTATGTGTGTGTGTGGGGGTACTTTATCTCATCTCTCTCCTTTCAGTCCTGAACCCTAGAGCAGAGGTGCTTGGAATAATAATAATAATTTATTATTTATTCCCCAGCCACTCTGGGCGGCTTCCAACAAAAGATTAAAAATACAAGAAAACATCAAAAACTTCCCTAAACAGGGCTGCCTTCAGATGTCTTCTAAAAGTCAGATACAGTGGACTCTCAGGTTGCAAATGTGATCCGTGCTTGAGGCATGTTCACAACTTGCGTCCGCAACCAGCAGCGCCACGTCTGTGCATGCGTGGGTTGCGCTTTGGCGCTTCTGCGCATATCTGAAGCACGATTTAGCACTTCTGCGCATGATCCATAACCCAGAAGTAACCTGTTCTGGTACTTCCGGGTTCGGCGTGGTGCGGAACCCAAAAATGCGCAACCCAAAGCGTCTGTAACCCGAGGTATGACTGTAATTGTTTATTTCCTTAATAATAATAATAATAATTTATTATTTATACCCCACCCATCTGGCTGGGTTTCCCCAGCCACTTGGGCGGCTTCCAGCACAACACTAAAATACAATAACCTATTAAACATTAAAAGCTTCCCTAAACAGGGCATCTGATGGGAGGGCGTTCCACAGGGCGGGCGCCACCACCGAGAAGGCCCTCTGCCTGGTTCCCTGTAACCTCATTTCTCGCAGGGAGGGAACCGCCAGAAGACCCTTGGCGCTGGACCTCAGTGTCCGGGCAGAACAATGTATACTTCAGATATACTGGGCCTTTGAGGCCGTTTAGAGCTTAGAATAATAGGATCGTAGAGTTGGATTAAGCACTGCATGAGACGTCAGACATTAAAAGCATGCGGAATCCCAGCAGGAGAGCCCTGTGTTTTCCAGCGACTCGTACCCAGAAGCTTTGCTGTCTCCAATTGTCTTGTTCTCTTCTGAAGCCAACCGAGTTGTTGGGTGTCGCTGTCTCCAGTGGCAGGGAGTTCCGCAGTTCCACTCTGCACCAGAAGTTTTCTCCATCCTGAACCTTCCAACGTTCAGCTCCGTTTAAGCTGAGGCAGTTGGGGGGCTCCTGGCAGATCTGGGGAGGGGGTTCCTAAGAGGTCCTGGGCTCCCCGCCCCCTGCCCCCCCAAAAGCAGAGTTTCCGACCCGCGGGGAGACAGGAGGGCAGAGGCCAAACCCCGCCGCTAATTACTCTTGCTGTCATTTTGATTCCTTAATCCGCCCCCCCCCACTTCCCTGCCCCATAGAAAGCCTCCCTCCAGCCTCCCTCTCCTAAGCCTGCTCTTAGACCCACAAAATCCAGCTAAGCATGCCTGCTAATTGGGCTTAACGAGGGCTTGGCAGCCGCCCCAGCTAATTCCTGCTGCTAATGCGCCAGAGCCGCTTGCCTCCCCCCCCCCCCCCAGGAAACGCAGCCAGATTGGAGGGTCAGGATCCTGGGCATAGCTGTCAACTTTTACCTTTTCTTACGAGGAATCCTATTCGGAATAAGGGAATTTCCCTTTAAAGGGGGGAAATTGATGGCTATGATCCTGGGAGCAGTTGGTGTGTTGGGGGCCCCTGCTTGGTTCTCACGCCCCCTTTCTCCCCCCCCCCGACAGGTGTGTGAGCTGGACATCATCTTCAACTTTGAGAAGGCCTACTTCATCCTGGACGAGTTCCTGATGGGGGGGGAAGTTCAGGACACCTCCAAGAAAAGCGTCCTCAAAGCCATTGAGCAGGCGGACCTCTTGCAGGAGGTAGAGGTGGGCCCCTGCATGGGGGTCCTGCATGCCTGAACTGGGGGGGTGGTGGCAAGGACTGGGGGGGCCCTTCTCCCTGCACCCCCAAAGACAAACCATACACTTCCCTCCAGCTGTGGGGCCAAGCAACCTGCTGTTGCTGCCGCCCTGGACATGCCTGGTTTCTGTCTGTTTCCGCAGAGGAATTTTTTTTGGGGGGGGTGTTGCTGCTGGAGGAGCCCCCCAAGATAGCTGCCTTCCTGGCTGCTGCGGTGGCTGCTTTCTGCATGCAATGAGTCACCGGCAGCCATCGCTCCCTCTCTCTGCAGTGGGCGTGAGCGACTCAGCTGCCTGCCGCTGGGGCCGAGTGCAAATCCTCAGGGTGGGGAGGAAGGAGACGCAGCAGCCTTGGCACCCCCAGCCGCTGCCACCCCCCAAAGAAAAACCCCCTGCATGGTGGACGTTGGCACACCTGGAACCCCCAAGCCCTTAGAATGGAAAAAGACCTTGTTAGTTGCTCTACGGGGCGTCAAGAGCACCTCTGAGCAAGCGCAGAAAGCCTTCCCTCCCCCGGGAAGTGTCGGGGTAGTGGTTGGGCTGGGGGTCTTATGGGGAGGGGGGCTGGCTGCTTCCCCCCCCCCACTTCCCGCTCCCCTCCTCTGAACCCGCCTCCCCTCTGCTTTTCTCCCTGATATAGGAAGACGAGTCGCCCCGGAGCGTTTTGGAGGAGATGGGCTTGGCGTAGACTTGGGATCGTGAGCCGGCTCCCCCCCCCTGCCCCTGCCACTGTCCCTCGCGCCCCTTTGCCCCCCCCACGCAGTGGGGCTGAGAGCCTGTGGGGGCCACGCAAGCTCTGCAGGCGGCCCCCTGGCCAAGGAACCTGCAAACCGCACGATGTAAATACTGAACCACCAGCTGGGGGTTGGGGGTGCCCTGCGTCAGAGTGTTGGGGGGGGGCAAGGAGGCATTTTGCCCCCGCCTGTTGGGGGGCAGAGAGAGAGAGAGCGCAGCGTGAAATTCAGGGGCACCGAATAATCTCCATTCTCCATCTTTTTTTCTGTGCCCCTCCAAACTCTCCTACTTCTCCTACCGCCCCCCCCCCAGCACCACCAGTCTGTTCACACCAGCAACGTGGCACTTCCTGCCGCCCCCAAACCTGTGACTCACCCGGGCAGCATGTGACGGATCCCGGGGGGGGGGGGAGCGGCAGCAGCGCCTCTGCCTTCTTCCCTCCTTTTCCCTCTTTCTCATTTTTTTTGTTGGGGGGGGCAGGCACCCCACATGCATGTGGGGCACGTGGACGCAGGTAGCCGGAGATTTGGAGGAGCCTGCCGTTTGGAAGACCAGCAGCCCCCTCCCCCAGACTTTGGGTGCCTGTATTCCCTCCCCCTCTGCTCCCCCCACAGCCCCTTTCCAATAAGGCATGATCTTTCCGGACCCAAGGTGTGAGTGCGAGTGTCTTCTCTGTTTTGGAATAAAGCGTGTGAGGAAGACGGTGGCCTGGCTGTGGTTCTTGCCCCTCCAGCGCAGGCTGAGATGCTTCCAGCCCCAGCGCAGAAGGGGGGGGGGAGAATGAGCAGAGGGGGTCCAACCTGGAGGTCGCTTGGCACGGCTGGCGGAGGTGCAGGGTCATTTGCCGTCGTACGGAAGGAACACCTGAGCATAAACAGGGTTCATCTGCATCGCTCTTAGAATTGTGAAGTCGGAAGGGAACCCCAGGGGTCATCCAGCCCAACCCGCTGCGAATGCAGGATTCGCGGCGAAGGAATCCCTGGCAGGGATGCCCTCCATCCGCTTTTCCGGGCTGGGAATGTTTAGCCTGGAAAAGAGGAGATGAAAGAACCGTTTCCAAGCACCTAAAGGGCTGGAGGATGGAGCAAGCTTGTTTTCTCCTGGTCTGGAGGGTAGGACTCGAACCCACGGCTTCAAGCTACAAGAAAGGCGATTCCGGTCAAACGCCAGGAATAACTTTTCTGACAATAAGAACTGTTCGACAGTGGAACAGATTCACTCAAGAGGGGGTGGGCTCTCCTTCCTTGGAGATCTTTAAGCAGAAATTGGGTGGCCATCTGTCAGGGATGCTTTATCTGAGATTCCTGCATTGCAGAGGGGGTTGGGCTGGATGACCCTCGGGGTCCCTTTCGACTCTACAAGTCTATGATTCCAAGGGAGTTCGTTTCACCGTCAAATGGCTCTTAGCCTCCTACTGTTTATTCAGAATCTCCTTTCTCGCAACTGGAAGCCATGGGTTCGGGTCCTGCCCTCCAGAGCAGGAGAAAAGAAGTTTGCTCCCTCTTCCATGGGACAGCCTTTAAGGAATTTGAAGCCGTCTACCATATCACCTCTCATAGTCTCTCTTCCAGGCTAAACATCCCCGGCTCCTTCAACCATTCCTTATCAGGCTCGTTTCCCAGACCCCTGACAATCTCTCAGCCCACCTTCCAGCTTGCCATCTCCTTCCCAAACTGGGGTGCCCAGAACTCCAGCCAGGGGTCCGACTGAGGCAGCTCCTGGGGGAGGGATCTGACTCCCCGAATCTTTCAGGAAGAGGAACCCCTGGAGCCAAAACTATTGCGGTGGGTGTGCTTTGCAAGAGCGCAGCTGCCCATTGAGATGAGCTTTGCAAGAGGCCAGCTGCAAACCAAGCTCCTTCAACCGTTCCTCGTCAGGCTCGGTTTCCGGACCCTTGATCATCTCGGTCGGACCTCCTCTGCCAATCAACATCCCAACTTGACAACGCCTTAAATTTTAAATCACCCGTCCTTTGCCAGCAGGTCCCGGTTCTAAAATCTGGAATTGAAAAAGGCTTAAAACAGGTTGCAGCTGTGGGAAGAGGGTGGGCCCTGAAAACACAGACGCCTTGGGTGCCCAGGTTCACCAAAACAGAGGTGTTTGGGAGTTGTAGTTTGGGGGCTGCCAGAGGAGACCCACCTTCTGAGGATAGTGGGGCTGCCAGGAGGGCATTGAAACACCTGGGGTTGAAGGCCTGCGAGGAAGGAGGCAGCCTCTCGGGTGTTTGGGGCTTAAGGCGGGCGAGGATCACCTTGGGCCCCACCTGGGAGCAAACTGGTAACCCATGGGCGGTTTGTGGCTGCTATATGGGGCTGGGAGGGGAAAGGAGGGCCGGGAAAAGAGGACCAGCAAGGTTTACCTCGCCTGGGCCGGTTCACTCCTGCGGAGATCGCTCTGTGGGCTGGATCGTGTCTGCACGGACGCTATTTCCAGCGCCACAGAAGTGAGTCCCCGCTGCGCCAGTTTAGCGCAGCGCGCAGGGAGTCGCCGAGCAAGCGGCTTAGTTTGGGGGCGACTTGCGGGCCATTTAAACAACCCTTTAGGCCTCTTGTGGGCCATGGACCACAGGTTGCTGACCCCTGCTCTACATCAGGGCCAACCTCCCAGTTCAAGTGGGCTGCAAAAGTACAGTGGTACCTCTGGTTACGTACTTAATTCGTTCCGGAGGTCCGCTCTTAACCTGAAACTGTTCTTAACCTGAAGCACCACTTTAGCTAATGGGGCCTCCTGCTGCTGCCGCGCCGCCCAATGGAGCCCAATTTCTGTTCTTATCCTGAAGCAGAGTTCTTAACCTGAAGCACTACTTCTGGGTTAGTGGAGTCTGTAACCTGAAGCGTATGTAACCCAAGGTACCACTGTACTCCCACACTCAACCCCTGGGCTGCACACTGCATTCGTCATGGGGGGCGGGAGCGAGTGCGAAATTTTTATGCCCCCTCTGGCCCTTGCACTGCCTTCCCGATGTCAGATAAGTGAGGCACTGGGCTTTGGGAAGGAGGCGCTCAGGACAACGTACGTTTGGGCACATTGGGGTTTTGGGACGAACGTCGTGGGTGCCCCTCCCTGCCTCTAGTCCTTCCTCTCACACACACACACCCCAGCAGAAAGCTAGAGCACCTCACTTTGGTTTTCCAGGGGATCTGGTCTGATCCAGCGAATTAAACCCGAGCGCAGGGAGCTGAAAGAGGATGTGGAGAAGAACAGCCCTCTTCCAACTTCCTCCTGGAGTTCACAAGGAATCAGAATCATGAAGTTGGAAGGGACCTTGAGGGTCATCCAGTCCAACCCCCTGCAATGCAGGATTCTTAGCTTTAATATTACTATTATTATTATTGCTATCATTATCATTGCCACTGTATAATGGAGCCCAGTCCCCTGGCACAATTCCCCCTGTGCCCTGCACAGCTTGGCCTCCTGGTCTTAGCAGGCGAGAGGTCATTCTAACGGCCACCTCAGGCCTGGCTTGTTGGAAAATCAACCCTGCGGTGGCTGCAGGTGGGGAGGAAATTTGGGTGGGCTGGGGGTGAATGCAACGTGGGTCTCCTTGGGGCTAGAGGTGGGGAGCAGGAGGAGGGAAGGAGATGCAACAACCGGAGCAATGGCCCAAACTGAGCCCCAAAGCCAGGGGTCAGCAAAATTTTTCAGCAGGGGGCCGGTCCACCATCCCTCAGACCTTGTGGGGGGCCAGACTATATTTTGAAAAAACAATGAATGAATTCCTACGCCCCACAAATAACCCAGAGATGCATTTTAAATAAAAGCACACATTCTACTCATGTAAAAACACGCTGATTCCCAGACCCTCCACGGGCAGGATTTAGATGGCGATTGGGCCGGATCCGGCCCCCGGGCCTTAGTTTGCCTACAGAGGAGCCAGCTCCTAAGGTCCCTTCAGCCCCCAATAAAATATTTGAGGTGGGCAGGCGCCCCCAAAGTTGATAGGCGTTGCCATTTAAATGGTGTGTGTGTGCACGGCGTCGTATATCGATTATGTCGGGTGGGGCTTACTCCCCCCCCCCAATATTTTTTATTCAAGTTGGCACCATCGGTGGAGGGGACAGCCCACCGCGTTTCGCCCAATTTTTGCTAAAAGCCTTCAGAAGGGTTTAAAATGGGTGGGTGTGGGGAGGACCCGGCCTGCATAAATCTCGGGACCCCACAGTTAATGTATCTGGGAAGAGACACAGCCAAGATCTCTGCAGGCTGATCTCCCATGGAAACGTTAATCGGGACCCCCGAGATCTCTGCAGTTCCCAATCCCGGCTGGGACTAAGCCCGATGAGAAAGACGGGGCGAAACGCGGCGGGCTCCTTCGAAAGTAAAATCCACGTTTTCCCAGCATCCTGAGACGTAAGCGGGGGAAGGAAGAAAAGGTGCCTCCCACCGGGACTGGTGTGTGCGCCCCCTCTCTCTTGCACCCCCTGTTTTTTGACAGAATTACAAGCCTGGTAGATGAAGGGAACGCAGTGGATGTAGCCTACCTTGATTTCAGCAAGGCATTTGACAAGGTGCCTCATGATATTCTTGTAAAGAAGCTGGTAAAATGCGGTCTTGACTACGCTACCACTCAGTGGATTTGTAACTGGCTGACTGACCGAACCCAAAGGGTGCTCATCAATGGGTCTTCTTCATCCTGGAGAAGAGTGACTAGTGGGGTGCCACAGGGTTCTGTCTTGGGCCCGGTCTTATTCAACATCTTTATCAACGACTTGGATGATGGACTCAAGGGCATCCTGATCAAATTTGCAGATGACACCAAATTGGGAGGGGTGGCTAACACCCCAGAGGACAGGATCACACTTCAAAACGACCTTGACAGATTAGAGAACTGGGCCAAAACAAACAAGATGAATTTTAACAGAGAGAAATGTAAAGTATTGCACTTGGGCAAAAAAATGAGAGGCACAAATACAAGATGGGGGGCACCTGGCTTGAGAGCAGTACATGTGAAAAGGATCTAGGAGTCTTGGTTGACCACAAACTTGACATGAGCCAACAGTGTGACGCGGCAGCTAAAAAGCCAATGCAATTCTGGGCTGCATCAATAAGAGTATAGCATCTAGATCAAGGGAAGTAATAGTGCCACTGTATTCTGCTCTGGTCAGACCTCACCTGGAGTACTGTGTCCAGTTCTGGGCACCACAGTTCAAGAAGGACATTGACAAACTGGAACGTGTCCAGAGGAGGGCAACCAAAATGGTCAAAGGCCTGGAAACGATGCCTTATGAGGAACGGCTAAGAGAGCTGGGCATGTTTAGCCTGGAGAAGAGGAGGTTAAGGGGTGATATGATAGCCATGTTCAAAGATATAAAAGGATGTCACATAGAGGAGGGAGAAAGGTTGTTTTCTGCTGCTCCAGAGAAGCGGACACGGAGCAGTGGATCCAAACTACAAGAAAGAAGATTCCACCTAAACATTAGGAAGAACTTCCTGACAGTAAGAGCTGTTCGACAGTGGAATTTGCTGCCAAGGAGTGTGGTGGAGTCTCCTTCTTTGGAGGTCTTTAGCAGAGGCTTGACAACCATATGTCAGGAGTGCTCTGATGGTGTTTCCTGCTTGGCAGGGGGTTGGACTCGATGGCCCTTGGGGTCTCTTCCAACTCTATGATTCTATGATTCTATGATTCTATGATTCTATCAGCCCCCCCCCCCCGCCCCGTGGAGTGCAACAGAGGCACAAGGTAATAATGCTCCACATTTTAAAAACAAAAACCCGCGGTTGTTGTGAAATAACTCACAAGCTTCCTGGCTTTTTCTTTCGGAGCAAATCAGGAAATAAATAAGGGGGTTGTTTTTTTGGGGGGGGGGGATAGTTTAGAGAAGGGGGAGGGAGATTTCTGCTCCTGAGGACCAGGCAGCCCCCGCGCAGAGAGAGGAAGAGGCTTCAGGCTTCCCGCCTTTCCCCCAGAGAGCGAGCCCACCTGCCCCCTCACAACAACCCTGTGAGGCTGACTCTCCCCCATCTCGAGTGGGGGCGTCCTGACCCACGCTGTGCCCAAGATGGCCGCCCCCCCCCCCGCTCTCCTCGGCTCCCTCTGCGGGGAAACCTGGACACCGAGCGGGGGGTCCGCTTCGTCGGGCGGGCTAGCGCTGCCCCGCGTCCCCTCGGCCTGTGAGGCAAAGGGGCGGACCAGCTCCAATTGGTCCGGCCCTCCCTGGCACGCTGTTGACTCCGTGGTGGGGGGCCTGCATCTCCTTCCTCCCCCCCAAAAAAAAAACCCCACCGCAAAGCTATTTTGGGGAGAGCCCGTGTGGCGTAACGGTTAAGAGCGTTGGACGCAGCCTGGAAGCTCTTCGCGTCGCCCACCCCGCGGGGTTGCTGTGTGGACGCAGCGGGGAGGAGGCCTCCTGCTCCGCGCGTTTGGGTGGGTGGGGGGCTTCCTCCCCCCTCAGTCTGCTCCCCACTTGGCTTGCTGCCCTGCCGCGCCCCAGGGGCGGGATTTGGCCATACAGATTCCAGGGGGCGCCCCGTGAGACGCCCAAAGCCGCGCCATCTCCCTTCGCTTTGGGTCCTTGTTGCGCCCCCCTAAATTTGGGCGGTCGCGCTCCCCTAAATCGCCCGAGGAAAGGAGCGAGAAAGCGGGGGCGCCGTCGGGGGCTTCTCTTGCAGTGATGCCGAAGGACGCCCGACTTCGTCAAGGGGGCGGCACCGGCATCAGCAGGAGGAAGGAGCGCGCTCCGCTCTTTGGGACCCGACCCAGCTGCAGGGAGCCTTGAGGAAAGTGCCACGTGGTGTCGGTGGGGCTGGGAGGAGCTCCCGGTTTCCCCACTGGACAGCTGCCCAGGAGACCCTCCCGAGTCCCGCGCCGCAAGTCCCGCGAGACCCTCCCCTCCAGGCCGGCATGTGGGGTGGGCGGCCGGGAAGGGGGCGGCCCCAGGGGCCAGGGGCGAGGCCCGAGCCGGGAGGCGCCTTTCTGTCCCGCTGCGGCGACGGGTCGGCTCTTCGGGGAGTTTTCCGGCGCGGGTGAGTGGCGGGAGGCGGTGGGGGCTAGTCGCTTCGTTTTGGCCTCCTCCGAACACCCCAACTCGGCCTGCCTCGGGTCCGGGCTGGGGCCCGGCAAGGGGGCGGGCGAGGCGACCCTAGCGGGATGGGAAAGGGTGGGGTTCTCATCTGCTGCCTTGGGGAAGGCCTGTTTTTTTGGGGGGGGACAGGGCACCAGGACTCCTCAGTCCTGAAAGTTGTGGAGGTTCGGCTCTCCCCCCCCCCCCGCCCCGAGGTGCAAATCCGGGGTTGCCTCCTCCAGCTCTGCGCAGAGCGAGCTCAGAATATCCCGTGACTCAGTTTGGGGTCCCGAGGTGCAACGCAGCTCCTCCCCACCCGCCTGAAAGCGCAGCTGTTTCCGGGAGGGGGGCGCGGGTGGCTGGACCTCTAAGAACAGGAGTTCTCAAAACTTTTTTTCTCTGGGCCGCACTTTCACCAAAAAAAAAAAAATTGCTAGCACCACGCTGAACTTTTTCCTCGCAGAACGAAAACACAGGACGCAACTGCTTTATGATACGATCACAGACGGGACGTCCGGAAAGGATGAAATAATGCAGTCACACATGAATATTTCCCAAAATATCATATTGATGGTCCGCCGCTCTTGCCATTCTCTCCTGCCCCGCCCTTCGAGAACCGCTGCATTCAGGACTTGCAGCAAAAAAATACCAGTAACCTCGCGATGCCTGGAGCCCCTTTGTTTCTGCACAGATTTTCACAGGCTAAGAAGCAGCAGGTGCACTAAGTGTTATCCTGAGTTACAGGTATGTCTATTGGGTGTGTGTGTTGGGGAGTGTTTGTGTGTAAACAGGGAGGTCAGAGAGAATTCCGCATTTCTTTTGCCTGTAGCCTCACTGCTTACAATCCCTGCAACAAAATCCCTGTGTATATGTACCTATAATTCAGGATAACACTTCATGGAGCTGATGGAAGTGGACTGGATAAGACAGTGCCATAACATATTTCACTGTTCTTTCTCAAGTGTGTATGTGGGTAGGTTCAGCTACCACTCTGTACATGCTCAGAAGCTGATTCTGGAGCTAGGACCTGTTGACCACCTACCTCACCCAGCCCAGATCAAGACCCTTAGAAGAATCAGGAACTGCTCCTGCTCTCAGACAATTTTCTGGGGCTGCTTTTGCCTTTTGGGCAGGAACACAAATGCATCTTAGACTCTTCCAAAATGTTTTAAATTTGGGAAAGTTGCATCCCACCCGCCTGCCTCCCCAGCTTGAATAATCATTTGCGGTTTTTTTTCTGAGCTGCTTTGGAGGACTTTTCTAGCTGAAAGGCAGCATGGGAATAAACTTCCAACATGGCTTAGCATGCTTCCGAATGCCAGCTGCTGGAGGGGAGAGTCGCTTTGGCACTTCCTGGTTAGCCATAATGCAAGCAGAATGCTGGATGAGTTGAGCCCCTGGCCTGATCCTGCAGCCTTTTGGCATCAGTTCATGCCTCTGTTGGGTATGGAGGTTACAAGGGGGATTTTTAGGGCTGGGTGATATATTGACATGTTGTCCAAAACCGGTTTGAAGTCCGTATTGTGATACCAGTTTCATCATTGTTGACCTGGTAAAAGTATCACAAACCATGATGTGTGTCTGTGCTATGCAAAAATCACAATGTGGGGAAACCTGTGAAGCCAGCCAATGTTTCTCGGTTCCTTCAGCCCCGGTTAACTCTGCCGTCTCATATGTATTCTGTAGTTGACCTCCTTTGTAATGTTTTATTTTGAAATATTTAAGATAACATTTAAGTTTTCTGTTAATTATGTTGCTTTGACTGTATACTCGATTGTTTTATTGATGTTTTAAAATGCTGTAAACCGCTTTGAGGTTTTTCTTAAAAATATAAAGCAGTATAGAAATGAAATTAATAATAATAATAATAATAATAAAAAAAAAACCTCTGCCGTCTCAGCTCCCCCTGCCTCATGCAGGGGGGCAGCGAATCACAAGGGCAGGCGCTGGCAAAAATCACAATGCGGGGAAAACTGTGAAGCCAGCCGATGTCGCTTCACAGCACCGTCCTTATTTCAGACATCGTGATATATCATGGCGTCATGATGTTTAGTTGATGATATATGGCGATGGGGTCACGAAGAGTCGGACACGACCAAACGACAACAACAATATTGCAATGTTGAAAACCAGACATCACCCAGCCCTAGAGATTATTGTTAATTTATTTCTAAATTGGGATTTCAAACCAGGCCTTCCCCATGGGCTCCCAAGGGTGGGTTATGTACAGTGCAATGCAAGGAAACTGTGTAATGCAGAATCATTTCTAGGCTGTAAGTTAGGCTGCATCAGGAACAAATGAGAACAGTGGCAATGGCGGCTGCAACAGCAGGGAGGTTTTTAATCTCATCCTGCACACACACACACACACACACACACACACAGACCAGATACCTGTGCAGAAAGGTGTACCTTAACCTACCATTGAAATGTGGCCGGGTGCTCTTTGGAGGGGGGGTCACGCCACACCTTGAATGCCCCCCCTCCTGCTCCACCACTGACCCTCCAGATCTGCAAATAATGAGAGTAACTCGTAATAAAATAGTTGCTTTTATTTTATAGCAAAACTAGGAATTCCACATGCTATTTACAACAGGCCAAAGGTGTTTTATTTCAAGTACAACAAAATGGATCAGGACATCGAAACAACTCTTTTTATTATTATTATTATTTTACAGGACTGGACGCCACAAAGCGAAGAAACTCGCACACTCTAGGACTGATGCTGGCGGAAGGGAGTTCTTTTTTTGGACGCGTGCAGACTGCTTCCTTCGCCCCCATCCTACCCTCCCCCCCCCGGCTTGCTCTCCGGAAACCCGCCCTGGTGGACCCTTTCAGGTACAGCTTTAGATGGTCATGGACTTACACAAGTAGGTATCGACACAGCATGCTCAAAGTCTCCCCCTGCCCAACTTGTTTCTGGGTGCAGGGTGCCTGTGGAGCTCAAGGTGCCCCCCGCCTGGGTGCTGGAAGGAACGGCTCAGGGTTTGTGGTAAGGCAGTTTGTGGTCAGGAACCTCTCTGTCTCTGTTTCTGCTCCGTCTCAGCCAGGGAATCTTTTCGTTCTGGGCAGAACTCCGTGGGGAGAGGGGGCGGAGGCAGCAGCAGCAGCAGCAGAGAGCCTCTGGGCCCCCAGCGCTTGAGGGGGAGGAGTGTGGATTTTGTGGCAATTTTGCCTCTTCCACCTGATTTAAGGCGGTATAAACCTCAGCCAGGCTCTGGAGCCAAAAGTCTGCCCCAAGGGGCCGGGAAACCCCCCCTGGCTCCTTTTAAACATTGGTTTCAAATTTGATTTAGCTTCCAGCCTGGTTCTTTAGATTCCCATGCCTACTAAGCAAAGGAAAGTTTGGTTTGAGCGGGAGGGTTTGTAAACTGAACACAAATGAACTGGGTTAATTTAGGTCCGTGAGAATAAGTCCTCCTCTCGGAGTTTTTGAGGGCAAATACTCCTCCATGTTTGTGGCTTCTCACACGCCTTTCTTTGAACGGGGTTGCAGCCAGGAAATTGGGGTGGGGGGGCACTTCTGTGTCACATCTCTTACCCCCTCCGCTTTTGGTAGGCTAAATATTGGATGAGCAAAGAAGGGCAAGGTTTTTAGCAGCTATGTTAGGTTTCCAAAACATGTCTGTGTTTTAAAGGGCGGGCTGGACTAGATGACCCTTGGGGTCCCTGCCAGCTCTACAATTTTAGGATTCTGCTATTCTTCTTGTTGCAGATAAAAGGGGTGTTATCTCTGTATCCAGCTGTGTGAGGAGCTTTTGCGGTGCTCAGAGCCTCACTCTAGGCCAGGGATTCCCAAACATGGGTCTCCAGCTGTTTTTTGGACTACAATCCCTTCCACTAGTCTTGCTAGCTAGGTATGATGGGAATTGTAGTCCAAAACCGGCTGGAGACCCAAGTTTGGGAAACACCGGTCTAGGCTTTTGCTAGAGTAAACCACTCCCTGCTGCACTGCTCAGGGTGCAGGATCAGGTCCTGTTGGGTCCTCGCTTTCAGTGCCACCTGGCGGCCTTCATTATCACAAACACCTGGGGAGATGTGGCCATAATTATTCATCTCTCTCTCTCCCCTCTCCATTTTTTTTGGGGGGGGGGGCTCCTCTCTTGAGTGTGCTGTAAAACTGTGCATGTGCGTAGCCATGGGGGGTGGGGCAGCTGCCCTCCCTAAATCAAGCAAATCAATAAAAATACTTAACTATCTGAGGTTCTGCCCCCCAACATGAAACTTGCCCTCCTAATAAAAATACTGGCTGTGTCCATGAAATTGTGCGGTTTTGGGGGGTTGGAGGGGGCTGTTTCCAAAGGGGGCAGGAGGGAGATCCAGACAGAGGTGGTGGTTTCAACTGGAAACCCCTTAGGATTTGCAGCGTTACCCCTGGAATGCTTGCTTCGAGGCTGCCCCCAAGGAAGGAGAGGCCAGGAAAGGGGGGGTCCTTGACAATTTTGCATTGACAGGGTGGCTGCCTGCTCTTTTGTACAGCTGGGACAGGCGGATGGGGGGGGTGGCTGCATGGGGAGCTCCGACTTGACTCACTGCAGCGGAAAAAGAGTTGTCCCTCTGTCTGAACGCTCCTTGGCAGCTTTCATTCCGCTCTGGAGGCCAGATATTTGAGATGCGCACCTGATGAGGGTGTGGGCAGGGGGGCGGCGGCTTGGTGTCCAGGGTGGGGGGTGAGGAGGCAACCAGGTAGCTGGCTGAGAGGAGGAGGAGGAGGGTGGGGTCACAACCGGGCTTCCTCCCGTGGACCTTTCGCTCGGTGGGGGAGACTCTGTTCTCCTGACTCATGCAAGAACCTGAATTTCATGTCGGAAACACGGCGGATGGCAAAGTTTCTTTGGGCGGGGGGCGAGGAGAGGGGCGGGGGGACCCCCGGGCGGCCCTCACTGGAAAGCCTTGGGGCGCTTCATCAGCATCGTCTCGATGTAGTTCTGCAACTCCTCGTCGCCGTCCTCCTCCTCACGGGTCTGGCCGTCGTCGTAGAACTCCTCCCGGGGCACCACGGGGCCGGGGAGCGGGCCGCGGAAGCGCGCGTAGGGCGGAGGCTGGAAAGTCCGCGGGTTGATGTAGTTGGAGATCTTGTTGCTGCCCGCGTAGTTGCTGACGCTGCCGCCGCCGCCGCCGCCGCCTCCTCTGTGGCCGCTGCTGCCTCCGCCGGGCCGGGCCGGGTACCATTTGGGCGCCGGGTACTCGTCTCCTTTCAGCACCTCGTTCCAGGCCGCCTCGTTCTGCTTGGGGAGGCGGCGGTGGTGGTAGGACTTGTAGTCCGCCGGAGGGTAGTAGGGCTTCTGCGGGGGCCGCGGCTCCGGGCGGTAGACGGCGTAGGCGGGCGCCTTCTTGGGCTTGTTGCGCGCCGGCGGCGGCGGCAGCGGAGGGGCCCCGGGCCCTTTGGCCTTGCTTCCCGCGGGGGCCACTTCGGGGACCTCCTTCTTCTTCTTCTCCACGTTGTTGATGATGTCGATGACGTCGTCGGCGGGCAGGTGCAGTTTGCTGGACAGCTCGATCAGGCGGTCGATGGTGTTGGGGTCGATGTCGTCGTCGTCCTCCTCCTCTTCCTCGACGGGCGCCTCGTTGGAGCGCTTGTCCTCGGCCACGTTGCCCTCCTCATCCTCGAAGAGTAGCCCGCTGCCCTTGCGGCGGATCCCGCTCCGCGGCGGCTGCTCCTCCTCGTCGTCCTCGTCTTCCTCCTGCGCGTTGGCCCCCTGGCGCCCGTCCTCCTCCTCCTCGCCGTCCTTCAAGAGGTACTGGAGCAGCAGGTCGGAGGCCATGTCCGCCAGGCGCTCCTCCTCGGCCGCCGCCCTCCGCGCCTCCTCCGCCTGGCGCCGGCTCTCGGCCAGCTCCTCGTAGCGCCTCTGCAGGAGCTGGTGCTCCAGGTGCTGCTGCTGGCGCAGCTTGCGCGCCCCGTCCCAGGGCTCTCCTCCCGGGGGCGCCGGGCTGCGCTTGGCGTGCGCCCTCAGCCGCTCGTACTCCTCCAGCTCCTTGAGGACGTCGTCCCGCTCCTGGGGGGCCGGCGGGCCCTGGGGGGGCTCCGCCCTCTTGGCGGCCGAGCTGTAGCGCTGCAGTTCCTCCAGCATGGACTTGAGCGCGTCCAGCTCCTGCTGCCCGAAGCTTCTCTCCCCGGCCTCGCCCTCTTCCTCCTGCTCCTCTTGCTTTCGGCCTCCGTCTTCGCCCGCCTCCCAGCGCGGCCCCTGCGCCTTCTTTTCCGGCTGCTCCTGCGCGTCGGAGCTCTTGGTCTCGCTGCGCACCCGCTCCTCGTTGGCGCTGGGCTCCGGGTTCAGGCTCTGCCCGTCTCTGGGCTTGCCGGCCTCGGCCTGGAGCGCTTGCAGGAGGACCGCGGCCAAGGCCTTGGGGTCCACGTCTTGGAAGAGGTCGCCTTCGTCGGGGCCGCCCCGCTTCTGGTCTTCGGCGCCGAGGGGTCCCGGCAGGATCCCCCGTCCGGCTGGAGAGTTTTCAGGCTGGGGGGACTCGCGGTCGTTGTCGCCGCCGCCGCCGCCTGGGCGGGCCTCCTCCTCCTGCCCCCTTCCAGTGGGGAGCGCAGCAGCGCGGAGGTGGGACTGCGCCAGGAGGAGGCAGAGAGAGAGGAGCCAAGCAGCTCTGCGAAGGTGGTGAAGGCACGGCATCCTGCCACGCGGAGAGAGGTGCTGTGCAGGGGAGACAGACAAAGGCGAGGTCAGAGCGGCATGAAGTCGAGGAGACCCTCCTCCCCATTCTCTCTCTCTCTTTTCTACACAGCAGGAGACTCTTAATCTTAGGGTTCGAGCCGTAGGGCGAAAGAGCGCTGCGTTGCAGCGGGTTGGACTGGATGACCCTCAGGTCCCTTTAGAAGTCTATGATTCACGCGCACAGATTGAGTGGTTTTGTGGAAGAGCAAAAACCCCACGTGCCATGGAATCCTAGGGTTGGAAGGGACCCTGAGGGTCATCTAGTCCAACCCCCTGCAATGCAGGAATAGGCAGCCGTCCCCTGCAGGGATCGAACCTGCCACCTTGACGTTTTCAGCGCCAGGCTCTGACCAGCTGAGCTGTTCTGTGTTATGTTGTTAACACTGTTGCATCTTGCAAGTTTGCCACGGCCTTTGGCGAGACCCACAAACTTAATGAACTTGGAAAACGAAACGTCATCCCCTTGGCGGGAGGGGAGGTGCCTCGACCCACAAGCTTTGGAGGGGGCTGGCCGGGCGAGGTGACACAGCCCTATCACCGAGGAGGGGGTGGCGGGGTCCTCTGGCGAGCCGCTCTCACTTCCCCGAAGGAACAAGCCTCTCTTCCTTATTAGGAATTCCCATTCTGTGGGGCTGAGCCCCCGCTTTTCCCTCGGAAAATGGTTTCTGCCCAGCCCCACACCAGGCGCAGCGCTCCAGCCCTCGTGTTAACGTGGTCCTCTCTCGTCCTCACATCTCCCCCCCCCTCCCATTTTCTTAAGACCCGGCTGCATCGCGGGGTTTTGTTTTCCCCCGAAGCGTCTCGCTGCCTGAGCGGCGGAGAGGCACGTCGTGTACTGTACGCTCCTAATGGGTCTCTCATTGACAGTTCCGTGCATCGCCGCCGGATTCCGGGATCCTGCTCGCCTCGTAGGGTTGCCTGCCTGCCTGCAAGCGGTGAGCGCGCGCGCACACACCCGGGCAGCTCCTTTCGACAAAACGTCTCTCTCTGCGCGCACGTACAAAACACTACGCCATGCATCTCTCTCTCCTCCGCCCCCCCCCCCGCACACTTTCCCAACTCCGCCGGGGTTGCCAAGGGATGCCACGAGACGGAAGAGCCCGCTCATCGTGCTCAGCAGAGGGAGGGGGGGCAGGAGGGTGCCGCCACCCCCACTCCTCCGTCGCCAGGACCATCTTCTTGGCCCCCGGCTACATTCCTGCATTCTCAGCCTAGGTGTGTTCAATGGGGGGGGCGGGCTGCTGTTTATCGGAAGTGCATTTTGAACTGGCAGTTTTATTACCCTCGTTTTTGCCTTTTCCACCAAGCCTAGATTTTCCCCATACCGTGAGGGGAACAAGAGGCTCTTCCGTCTGAATCGTGCTGTGGAAGAGGGGAGTCTGCGGGGGTCCGCTTGCAGCTAGATCTGGGGTCCCCATAATTCTTTCCCTGCCTCCCACCCACCACCCACTTTCCTGGAGCTGCTCCTAACATCCTCATTTCATCGATTGGGGTGTTCTTTCCTACACCCCGCTATTCGGCTTTATATGGGACCGATGGGATCTTCGTTTCCCCCCACCCCGCATATAAGAGTTATTATAGAACAAAGAAGCCCCTGCTCGTGCCCCCCAAGCCCACCTTTTCTTCCTCAGTTATCTCTGAGCTGTGGGCCACTGGGCTGACTGGTTCTGGGGAAGCGAAAGCGTCGCCCGGCGCCTCCCCACTTCAGAGAGAGCGCGCGAAAGACCTGCTGGCTCGTCTCTCGCTCGCTCGCTCGCTCCCCCCCCCCTCTCTGCAGTCCCCACACCCACCGCCCACACATGCAGGGGAGGAGATGACTGGCATCCTCAGCGCTGCCGCCGCCGCCTCCCTCTGCCGGCTGAGACCCTCCGCTGCCCCCCTCTTTCCCAACAGCCATCCACCTTTAGAAAGCTGACCCCCGCTTCAATGCCGTTGTAGCAGCCCCCGCCCCCCATTTTCAGCCCCTCTGCATAACTTAGCCCCACCCCAGTTTCTAGAGATCCTTCCCAACAACAGCCCCGGGTTCCTCGCCATCTCCAGCGTTCGCACAATTCCTTTCCAGGTCCCGATTCTTTTCCCCACAAGCGTTTTTCCTCCCCCCCCCCATCCTCAAGTGATAGAATCCCCTGCCCCACATCTGCGTCCGTCTACCTGCCATATCTCGAAGCGGCCGAGGCCCCCCCCTCCATTTCTCTCTCCCCCTCTACGACCGGCTTCCCCCTGTCGCTAGCGAATGGCGCCCGCCCCTCTTCGGGAACCGCTCCAAGGGGACCACCCTGAGCCCCGCGTCTCGGGGCAACCCTCCTGCAAAGCCGCGGGGGGGGGGGGAGCAGACGCCCTACTCGCCAACCGGCGGTTCCCATCCTGGAGACGCGCAGCCGCCGCCTCGCCTTCAACCACCGTTACCGAGCAGCGCTTCCTTCAGCGCCCCCCACCCTCTCTGACCATCCTTCCAGGGATGGGCGAGGCGGGCCGGGGGTTGTCTTCTAGGACCCCCACCCCCTCTCGCCGCCTGTGTCATGACTCTGCAAGGGAGGGGGACGTGTTACCGGCTCCGTGGCAGCTGCGCCGGCCGGGGGTCTCGGGTCCGCCCCACCCCTCTGGAGTCGCTCGGTCCGCCCGCCTGCCTGGCTCTGCCTTTCCCCGCGCCGCTCGCTCGCTCGCCGGGGCTGCGCTGCCGTTCAGCACCTTGGAGAGCGGCTGGGCTGGGCGGCCGCTTTTGTACTTCCAGGCGGGCCCACGTGGGGGGCCCCATTGACGTCAATGTTCATTCATAAAATTCGAGCACGATTGGAGGGGAGCCCCGCGCCTGCGCAGAACCGGGGGGGTGGAGGAAAGAAAGGGAAAAAAGTCCAGCGAGCGAGCGAGCGAATGGAATGAATGAAGGGGATGAATGGGAAGAGAGTGGAGTGTTGGGTGAATGAATGACTGAAGAAGAATCGGGAGGAGGAGAGAGGGATTCGTGAATGGACCGGCGGGCTGGGAGACGGGGCCTGGGGGAGACACGGAGGAAGCCTCGGCTCCAGGGCCTTGGGGAGGCTTCCCCGCCGCCGCCTCTGGCCGGTGTGGGCGCTCGGGAGCGCGCTGGCGGGCGAAGACCCCTTTGTTCCCAGGCGCCGCTCCGGGAGAACCTCTCTCTCTCCGGCGCCCTTTACCTCGGGGCCGGTGCGCGGAGGGCGCCCTTTGCGAGAGGCGCCTGTGGACGCGCACGCAGGTAACCAGGCGAGGTGGGGCGCGCTAGGAGGACGCGTGTGCTCCGCGCGTGTGTTCAGACGGGCGCTCGCCCGGAGAGTCCACGTCGCCTTCCTGCCCGCGCGCGCGCGCGCCAGTGCGGACCCGGGGCGCGCCTCCTCCTCCTCCTCCTCCGCGCTTTAACCGGAGGGTCTCCTTCTGCGCCCTCGCCTCTTGCGAGCGATTCGATGGCGGGATGCGCTCTGGCTGGCTGGCTCTCGGTCTCCCGACGGCCCGGGCGTTTCACTCCCGGCTCCCTCCCACCTGCGCGCTCTCGCGCCTCTCTCCTTCCAGCCCCCTCTCGCCGCGGCGCTCGCCCATTCATACAAAGAGCGCCCCCCCCCCAGCGCCGCATTTTAATCCTGCCCTCCATCCCTGGACGGCGCTCCTCCTCTTAGTTCCCAGGTGGATCAGCTCCCGCCCCACACTTTTCGGTGGGGGTACGTGCCACCGGGTGCTTCCAGCCCCGGGGGGTGGCAGGTGGGGAGAAGGGCAGGGGCGATGAGTCACCCTCCGCACGCTCTGCAGTCCTCTGCGTCCTTCACGCCCCCTTCACGGTCCTGGGAGTGGGGGTTGGGGTGGGCGTTGCGGTGGCTGCTGCTGCTCCGGCTGCTGCAACAGCCCCATATGTGGGGAGAGGGGAGCTTAGGGCAGGGAGAGATGCTTACAGGTGGAACCCAACACACACCTCTCCCTTTCTGACATCCCTCCAAAGATTCTGCTTCTCTCTCTGCCCCCTCCCCCAACACTGTCATTCGTGTTTTGCTGCAATGAATGAGGGGATTCATTTTGCGGCCCCCCCCGTGCTGCAGTGGAGGGATCTACGCTGCACAATGCTGGGGGTGGGCAAGCATCCACGGGAAGGTCATTGACACCCCCCCCTCCTTAGCTGCAGTTGAGCAAGGTGGCTCCGTCCCTGAAGCCCTCCATGTATGCACACAACACCAAAAGGGTCTCTGGGGGGGTCTTCCTGCCCCATTTCAGCAAACTCTGCCCCCTCACCCCCCACCCCAGATGCCGGGGCTCCTCAGCAGCCCAGATTTAAAACTGAAAGGGACATTCACAAATACTTGGGACACAGCAATATCTCATTGCCTGAATGAAATCCCACCTTCTCCCCCTCCCCCAAGTGAAAGGTGTCTGCTTCTAGATTTTTGGGCAACCTTCTAGACCCTTTTTGGGTTGGGTAGGTTTCAGCCACGATAAACCCTCAAAGCAGAGCAACTGTCTGCATGCAAGCTGTCGAATAACATCAAATATTGGAACCCGCTGAAGATATGAAATATTCTGGATGCTAAACACAGCCCAAATTGTTGGTAGACGTGGCTGTCGAGCATTCAGCTCTAAGGAGAAGGTTTGCCAGCAGATTTTTCTCTCCTGAAATGTAGGGTTGAAACAACAGCTGGGTACATCTTGCCGTTGCCTCTGTCCTCCCTGCTCCCACTGCTGGTTTCTGAAGACGTATAGACATGACGTTAGCCACAATTCATACTCGCCCTGTAACTATTTGTGTATTTTCATGCATTCTCCCCTCAAGCCAGCTCCAATCTGAATTGGAAACTGAAGACACACCAACATCCCCTTTTCAGCTCAGCTGAGATGTGGACATTTGAGCCAGCCATTGAACATATGCAGAGGGCGGCTTTGCAAACAGGAGTTCCAGGTGGGGGGTGGATTGCAGGTGTGTGGGGAAGCAGACAGGTAATGCACGTCAGGTGACGATATCCCTGCTCCCCTTTCACCGCCTGGGGCGGACAGGCAGTGAGTCACTCAGTTGTACAGCACTGTGAAAATGCGACTTGAAACTTGGAAAAGAGGAAGAACCTCAGTGCAGGCAGAAAAGCTCAGTTGCTGGAGTTTTAGATTTGATATCCTGCTTTATCACTACCCTAGGGATTCTCAAAGCGGCTAACATTCTCCTTTCCCTTCCTCCCCCACAACAAACACCCTGTGAGGTGAGTGGGGCTGAGAGACTTCAGAGAAGTGTGACTGGCCAGATTAGGAGTCTACCGCTCTTAAACACTACACCACACTGGCTCTTGACTCTTAATCTCAGGGTCATGGGTTTGAGCCCCACATCAGGCAAAAGATTCCTGCATTGCAGGGGGTTGGACTAGATGACCCCTGAGGTCCCTTCTAACTCTACAATTGAGTGATTTTTGTCTTAAGCTGCTAAAGTATCCATAGGCTCATTTCTGCAGAGTGAAGGCTTCCTTGGAGAGAGACGCCAGCAGTCCACCATGTGGCTAGAATTATGAAACCAGAGTCCATACGTGTATCAGGACCCATGCGTTGCCATCCTGTAAGAACATAAGAGCATAAGAACATAAGACAAACTTGCAGCTGGATCAGGCCAGGGCCCATTTCCTCTGGTTTTCAGCAGCTGAGATTCAAAAGGAATTCTGCCGCCTCCTCCATGAATCCGTCCCATTCTCTTCTAAAGCCATCTAGCTTGTTGGTTGCGGAAGGGAGTTCTGCACCGTAACTCTTTCATTTATCTACCCTGAAGCTTCCAGCATTCAGCGTCATCAGATGTCCACAAATCCTGGTGTCACTGGAGAGGGAGGGAAGCATTTATTCCTCCATGCCATGCATAATTGCATAAACTCCTGCCATGCCACCTCTTAGCCCCCAAATGCCGCAACCCCCTCCTCACAGGAACAGCCCTTTATCCGGAGCAGAACAAAAACCCACCTTGCTCAACACCCTCCTGCTTTCCATGGGGGCCAACCAGGATTTGAGGGCAACGACCTTTTCTCCCTCCCTCCTTGGTATCCATACTCTCCAGGCAGCCTTTCTGTGAGGTCAGAGAGCAGGACAACAACCTCGCAGCCTGAAATGCAGTCCTGGAGGTTTTCCCAAGGGTCAGGGTCCCTCCCCTTATTGCATCACTTCCTGTGTGCAAGACTGGATCACCCTGCGTTGCACAAAGTTAAATGCAGTTACTTCCTGTGTGGCCCCGTTTAAATTCGGCAGCTCCACCACAAGCAACAGGAGTGGAAGAAGTTCGCTGCAGCTGGAGACAGCCCAGCACCCTGTTCTCTGTCAGGTGCACCAAAGTGGAGAGGCTCACAAGCAGGACCTCTCTCTCCCAGCCCAAGTGGAAATGTGTGGATTTGAGACCTTCTTCATGCCAAGCAGGTGTTCTGCCACTGAGCTCTGACTCTTCTGCTTCTTCTGGGAGGACCTGCAGCCCAGTCACAGGCAGGAGACTCCAGGATATCATATCCCCTGAACTTTCGTGGCGGGAAGGGGAACAATCGAAACTTTCCCTCTTGTTTCTTCCTTCCACTACTACGCACTCTTTTTCTTACCTGCGATGGAGGGAGGCGTTTCTTTGCTCTCCTCCAGAGAGCAGCCCCCCTTTTGAACTGGACTGTGGATATTTGTAATAATAATAAAAATAATATTTTATTTATATCCCGCCCTCCCTAGCTGAAGCCGGGCTCAGAGCGGCTAACAACAATAAAAGTAACACAGCATTCTAAAATCAATTCAAAATCAAATTCATGGCAACCATCGGGCTAGAGTTCCGTGAGGATTATCAAAGGAGGGGGTAAATTAAAAAAAAAAAATTATTATTTACCCCCCTCCTTTGGTAAACATTTAAGGATAATTGCCTGCCTGATTTTCATCACTGTGTATCTCCCCCACTTCTCCCACCCACCACGGGCCAATGGAGACCCTCTCTTGGCACAAGCCACAACTCCTTATTCTGCCCCTCCACATAGAAGAGAATTAGAGGAGTCTTCTGGATCAGGCCAAAGGCGGCCCATCCAGCCCACCACCCTGTCCTCACCGTGGTCCACCAGATGCCCTGTTGCAACACCAGCAAGCAGGACCCAAACGCAAGAGCCCTTTCCCTCTTGGGGTTTCCAGCAACTGGGGTTCAGAAGCGTCGCTGCCCCAGACCACACAGGCAGAGCGGGGCCACTGTGGCTATTAGCCATCGATAGCCCCCTCCTCCATGAAACAGGGTTGTTAAGACCGCGGAGACCAGAGGAGGGGTTCCTTGTTGGTTGAGTTGCCCAGATGGTACTGTGGTCTAAACCACAGGTGCCGATCAGAAGGTCAGCGGTTCGAATCTCCGTGACGGGGTGAGCTCCCGTTGCTCGGTCCCTGCTCCTGCCCACCTAGCAGTTCAAAAGCACGTCAAAGTGCAAGTAGATAAATAGGTACCGCTCCGGCGGGAAGGTAAACGGCATTTCCGTGCGCTGCTCTGGTTGGCCAGAAGCGGCTTAGTCATGCTGGCCACATGACCCGGAAGCTGTACGCCGGCTCCCTCGGCCAATAAAGCGAGATGAGCGCCGCAACCCCAGAGTCGGCCACGACTGGACCTAACGGTCAGGGGTCCCTTTACCTTTACCTTACTCCATAAAGGGTGAGGTGAGAAGCCATGGGTTTGGAGTGAGCAGTGAGATCTAGAAGCTGTGAGCCTGCAGGTGGCACTAGGGAAGGGAGCCTGGGCTCAGAGGGTGGGGGGGTGAGCAGCCTCCCCACGTGTGACCCCTGGTCCCTTTCCGTGCCAAAGGCTACCTGACGCCCTCCTCCAACGCCCACATTGACTCACTCACACAATCACTCCTACCTCCTCCTCCTCCTCCTTGGCCATTTCCCATCCTTTCTCCTGGAAAATTAGCAGCTCCCTCCCGGGGCTAATGCCGGATTTCCGGGCTGTCAGAGCTTAGATTGATGCCTGGTGAGTGAGTCACTCTTGCAGCAGGAGCCTCTGATTGTGTGAATGAATCAAAGGGGCTGGATCCCTGCCTGGCTGGCGTAAAGCAGGGCTGCTCTCCCTGGGTCTCTGCCTCTCTTCCTCGACTGCAGCAGGAGGGGGCTGGCCCAGAGTGAGGAGCCGCAGGTTGAGGAATTATGGGGTGGGGGTGCTGGACCTGAGGAACAGAGGGGCAGCCCAATTCAACAGAGGCTCCCGGATTCAATTTCATGCTGGGCCAGATCCAGTAGGTGGGTGGACAGATGGGAGAGGAGGGGAAGGGAACGAGTGGTCTGCTTAGGACCACTTCGCTCGCTTTCTGGCTGCTCTGTCAGCTACACCCCCTTCCTCCTATGCGGCCCACTACTCTGCAATACCTCAACACCCACCCCACCCCCAAAGAAACATCCACACGAAGTGAAAATCCCGTGCAAAAGGGGTCCCACCAGCCATTCACCAGGGAATAAAATCTGGCAGGTTTGCAAAGGCAAACTCCAGGCCGTGGCCCCCCAATCCCTTACAGAGGTTGCAAGGGCCACACACCCAGACAATCTTCCTGAGAGGTTTGGCCGAGGGGCTTGGAGGTAAGACTGAGGGGAGAATGCTCCCTATGGCCTTGCTCCTCCCTTCAATGCCCCCCTGTGGGTGAGCCCCTTCCCCACCTGGGCTAAATTAGGTTTTGCTGGATCAGGCCAACGGCCTATCTAGTCCAGCGTCCTGTTCTCACAGTGGCCAAACAGATGCCTCTTCTGGGAAACTCTCAAGGGGGACTTGAGCACAAGAGCAAAATTATTCCCTCCTGTGGCTTCCAGCACCTGGGATTCAGAAGTGTCACTGGCTCCAGCTGTGAGGCAGAGCAGAACCTTCACAGCTAGTAGTCATTGACAGCCCTCTCCTCCTCTGTGAATTTGTCCAGGTCTCCTGTGGCAGGGAGTTCCACATGTTAACCCTGCACTGCATGAAGAAGGACTTTCTTCTATCTTCCACTGTTCAGCTCCACTGGATGCCCACGAGTCTTTGTGATAGTTGAGAGGGAGCAAATTTTTCTCTTTCCACTTTCTTCATGCCATCCATAATTTTACAAACTTCTCTCACTTTGCCTCTTACTCACCCTTTCTCTAAGCTGGAAAGTCCATAACATTGCAGCCTTCATGATGGAGTTGGACTGAGCTTTAAAGCTGTCAATTAAAATGTAAACCTCCTGTCCCATGTGTGTGGGAGAATTGTGAGAGTGAACAGGCTGTGAAACCCTTTTGGCAGAGTAAAAAACACGTGTGCTTTTGCAGCTTACCAGAAGCTAGGAATTAGGAAGCTACACTTTTTTATCCCTGTTTGTGGTCTGCTGACCTACCCCTCTTTGTCCCCGTTGCTAAGAACGAACCACCCCTTTCAGCAAAAACAAAAAAGTTTACTTACAATTCAACGCAGACAGCAAATGCATCAAAATAGTAAGTACTTCTTAGTTACGAAATACAAAATTAATTCCAAAAAGGTGTGACCTAGAACAAATAAGATATCCAAACATGTGCTATGCAGACTTGGATCACTCTTCTCCCTTCTGTTTCCCTCTTAACACTCTCAGACTGTTTAAGTAAACAATAAAAATATAAAGCTTACTCACCTATAAGTCTTGCCAGGATTCAACAGCTCCAGTGATGAAAATCAGACAGGCAGTAATCTTGAACAATTACCAAAGCGCATAGTCCAAAAATGGTGTGCGTTCTCTTGAGGAGAGCTCACAGGGATCTTTCCCCCCATCACAGGTAAGGAGAAGAGTGTGAGAGGAAGAAGAAGTTTTCTATCCTTCCCCTTCCTGCCGCAAAAGTTTAGAGGATATGACATCATACAGTGACTCGCTAGCGGATCAATCCTCCAACAGGCAGGATATGCAGTGGGGGCTGCCTCCCCCCAGCCCCAGATGAAGAACACCTGCCTCCTCATCACACCTGCCTCCTTTTCTTCTCCATTATTCTGCTCTGGGGACTTTCTTGCCTGCCTCCACCTAGGCCCTTCCTCTTTCTGCCCATTCGTTCATCCATTCACCCCCTTTCTCTTCTACCCATTTCTTCCGGTTTGCGATTCCTGCAATGGGCAAAATGACCTTTGGGTTCCCTTCCAATTCTACGATTCTAAGAAACAGCTCTCCCTCTCAGAGGCCCTGCTTGCGCTCCCCTCACATCCCTCCATGTCTCATCCACTCACCCCACCCCCACCCCCATTCTGCCCTTCAACACAACCAGCTGCCCTGAATCCCCCCCCCATACACATCTTGACCTCTGCCTGCCTGCCTGCCTGCCTCCCTCTGAACCTTTGACCTCTTCTGCCCTTCCCCAAAGTGTATGGACTTTTGCGATGGGGGTGGCAGCAGATTTCCAGCCTCCCCACAGCCCAGGAATATTTTTTCGGGGGTTTTTTTTTTTTTTGGTAAACAAATAAGCTGTGATTTTTTGCACCCATCAAGAATAACAGACTCCTGCGAAGATTATTTATGGCACTAAACACTCTCTGCGAGAAATCAGAAGTCATGAGTCAGAGGCCTGGGGCGCTCCTCTGTTCGTTGAGCGGAGAGGAAAGAGAAGGCAGAGGCACAACCAGGGATTCAGTTTGCTGGTCCCCCAGCCCCCCAACCCAGTTTAGAGCAGGGGAGATGGTGGGGCTTCTGCCCCGCTTGCCCCGATCCCAGGTTTGGGGGTGGTTCTCTGTTGCTGGGCAGCATAAGCAGAGGTTGGAGGGCGAGAGAGAGAGGCTGCAGGTCATTGCTATGCTGATTCGAAACAGGTTGCAGAGCCGAGTCCTGGGTGCAAGTGACGCCCCACTGACCCAATCTTGCGGCAATATTTTGGTCTGGTAATTTGCATGTGGGGCACCTGCTTCTGATCCATCTCTACAAAGAGGCTCCATTCGGACTTGGAGCCTCGCCAGGTTGCCAGGGAGGGAGGAAGAGAGGCGTGTGGGTCAGCTGCCAATCTGGGAACACTTCTCCCACCCACAGATGACTGAGGGGGCAGGTCTGGAGCAGGATCCAACTGCAGCCTGCCATGTGCAGA